TCTTAACCAACTGAGCCACTCGGCTGGCCCAGCAGAAGTTTTAAATTTTGATGAAGTCCATTTATCAACTTTTTAGAGTCTATGCTTTTTATGTCATTCCTAAGAAATCTTCCTAAGATAATCTATGTTTTCTTTTGGAAGCTTTATCAATTTAGTTTATGTTTAGGCCTATGGTCCCTCTTAAATTGAACTTCGTATGTGATGTGGGGTAAGTATTTAGTCCCTCACCCCTTTCCCATATACACACATGAATAGCTAGTTGTCCCAGCACCATTTGTTGGTGCCCTTGTCAAAAGCGATTTGACCCTATATCAGATGGCTCTTGATATCTAACACAAGCATCCCACGTAAAAATGTGTCTCCTGTAGTCTTTCTCCATCCAAAGTGAGGTCCTAAGACAAAGAGCATCACATCCCCTGGGAGCTTGTTAGAAATGCAGAATCTGGCGCCACTCCAGCCCTACACAACCCCTGGCTGATTCACAGATACCTTACATTTGGAGAAGCACTGGTGTAGATGTTTAAGGAAAGAGGGGGGAAAAAGCCATCATGACACTCTGTCACAACCTCCCCATGCACTGCAGGCTGTGGAGGTAGGGTGGGGTGGGGATGGGGGGTGGAGGGCTGTGCACCCATTTCCAATCCTTGACACCAGACTTAACCTCTGGGTCCACTGCTCCCAGTATGTGCTGAGCTTTCTTTTCTGCTCGGGGAGAGGAGAGGGGACTCACTCGCCTACTCCTCATCCCCTAATACCCACAACCACCTGCTCTCTCATCCCGCAGCTCCTGCCCTCTCCTCCATGCACAGCCTTCCATCCCTGAGCCTCAGTTTCCTTAGTTACAGAGCAGAGATAATAATGGTCTCTGTTTCAGGGGTTAATGTGATGGGAAGGGATCTGAGGTGTACCTGGAACATAGAGACAGCACAATAAAAGTCAGTGATTGTCATGGCCATTTCAGAACCTGTCCCCCAGGAGAAACCCCTGTACACGAGCCGCCTCCCCGCCGCAGCTCTCCCCACTCCACCGGAGCAGAATTGAGCTTTTCGATTTCCCCAGGCTGACTTCTCCCTCCCTTACTTCTCCACGTCCCCAGGGCAGCTTGCACTGATAAATCTTTCCCAGCACGTTGTATTGTTACAGCGAGTTGCCCTCGTGTCTGACCGGTCTCCCGCCCGGGCCTAGGAGTCCCTCAAATCCAGGATCTCTGTCTCGGTCGTCTTTGAACCCCCAGTCCCTGGCACTTGGCGGGCACTCAATAAATGTTTGCAAAATCGAATTATATATTAAGCAAGCGTCCACTCCACAACACGCTGGGGGTGGGGTATATGCAGGCGGTGGGGGCAGAAGGGAAGGCCGGCTGTGTGTCCCGGTGATGGGGGCACCGGCAGGCTGCTCCTTGGGGCTCGGGTGGGAGGACAGTGGGGAGAGGGTACGACTCGGGAGAGCGAAGCCTGGGCCAGCAGAAGGCTGGCGGTGCCAGACGCTGTGGGCTCCCTCCGCTCCTCCCCCTCCTCCTCCTCCGGCGACCCCTCCTCTTCCTCCGGCTCGCCTCCTTAGGCTCCGCCACTCCCGCCCAGCGCGCCCGTGGCAGGGAGGGGCCGGGGAGGAGGAGCCAGCGGTGGCCGAGACTCCCGGCCCCCGCACGGCTCCGGGGCTGGAGCTGTGATCCCGGCCCGCCCAGGTAGGAACCCGTGTAGGGAACGGACAAGGGACCCGGAGCCACGATGGGAGGGGCCAGGCGGGGGCAGCGAGGATGGGCCGAGGCCAGCCCCTCGTGCCCACGGCAGCCTCGCGGCCCACCGAGCTCCCAGCAGGGGGTAAGCGGGTGCTCAGTCCCCGCCCCTCGGCCGGGGCCTTCCTCCCCGCAACCCCCACCCCCGTGCGCCCGGCTCCTTTCCCGCCGCTCGGCATCCTGCGAGACTGTCTGTCCCCCAGCGTCCCCCAGGTTTCCCTCTCCTTCGTCCAGCCGCGCTCCTTGTTCGTCCCACAGGTTCCTTCCGAAAGCGAGCTGGAGTCTGTGCTTGGCCGCCTGGGGGGAGCGGGGGCGGGGACGCAGCTAGAAAGAGCCAGAGGGTGAGTCCGGCGTGGAGGTGGTGTTGGTGGTGGTGGTGGTGGCGGCGGTGATGGTGGTGGCGGTGGCGGTGGTGGCGGCGGCGGCGGTGGCTAGAGGCCGGGTACCATTCTTATGCATCTTGGTGTCCCCGGTGCTTGTGCGCAGAGGGGCTGGCTCCATGTTTGCGGAATGAATGAATCATTACTCTCCTTGTCCCTTTCTGAAGGAGGACTTTTTGAGGTCCACGTGCTGCAGAGCACGCTGGGGAGCATCCGGAGACAGGGCTCCTCGGTCCCGCGCTCTCATTTCTCCACCTCCTCTGTATGCTCTATTCTGGAGGGAGGCCCTTTGGGTTGGGACTTGGGAATGGAAGGGGAGAAGGGAGCTTGTAGGCTCAGCCAAGTACTTGTTGAAGGGGACAGGAAAGGGACTTGAGGAGGCCTTTTAGAAGGTGGGTGGGGGGGTATGCTGTGGAGGAGAGCACTCACTGTCAGGCAGGGGCCACTTTGCACAGCACATCTGAGACCAGCCTGGAAGGGCCACCAGAATATGGATTTTGACCTGAAAGTTACTGAATTCCTCCAAACCTCTGTTTCTTCATCAGTAAAATAGGAACATTAATATCCATTCCTCAGGGCTTTGTGCAGATTAAGAAAACATCATATGCATTGACCCAGCACAATGCTTGACACAATGGGGGCACTCAGCAAATCTTAGTTTCCTTTCCTTCCTCTCTGAAAAAAGTGAGCCGAGAGTTATTTGTTCCCAAATCCTCTGTCTCCAAATTGGCCACGGACAGACACAGTAGATGTGCAATCGCTGCTGAATGAAAATGCTTGATGGAGTTTCACCCCCGACCCCCTTTCTCCCAGAATCCATAGGCAGAGCTGGGGATCTGACCAGCACAGACATGCCGGTGCTGTCCGAGGACTCCGGTGAGTGCCTGCTTCCCCGGGCTGGGCCTCCAAGGCCCTGAAGACAAGAGCCTGCCCAGCAACCCCGGCTGGAAAGAAAGCAGGCTGATGCCAGCGCCGGCTCTCAGGAGCTTCGGTGCCTCCAAGCCCTGGGAATGAGAGCCTGGGGAGAGAATGTCCACATGACAGGGCTGAAGCGTTTGAGGGTTCACTGGGGGTCCCGTGGGGCAGGAAGTACCCATTGCATTTGCTATACTTTGTTTTACTTACACTCTCCTCAGGTTTACATGAAACCCTGGCGCTGCTGACCTCTCAGCTCAGACCTGACTCTAACCACAAGGACGAGATGGGCTTCCTGAGGGATGTTTTCAGTGAAAAAAGCCTCAGTTACTTAATGAAGGTAAAGCCCCATTTCATCTCTCCTTGGTGAGGGTTTCTAGAGGTCTTCCTAGGTGGCTGTGGCCACTCCCCTGGCCCAGGAAGGTCTTCACTAGCCCACTGTGCAGGGCTTTCTCTTACGCTGCCCTGTCGATGACCCAGTCTGCAGACCCCCAGTCATGCGCGGGCTGTGTGGTGTCCAGGGTAAACCTGGGCAGCTGGCTTGGGAGGCCCCAGCCTGAAATTGGCTGTCTTTGCAGATTCACGAGAAGCTTCGCTATTATGAGAGGCAAAGTCCAACCCCGGTTCTGCACAGTGCTGTGGCCCTCGCTGAGGATGTAAGTCTCAGGTTTTTCCTTACTGTGTCAGCCCTCTCCCCATCCTGTAGGGCTCCTTCATCTTGCCTCTTTGCCATTGCTTAGCCAGGGGACGTTGGGACTCTGGAGTCCCCAGGTGAAGAGCGTCTCCTTCCCCTCCTCCTCCCTGGGCCTCCTAATAGGCAGGAAGGAACTTGTGAGCCTTGGACTGGGCTGGGGGACATGGTGACATGATGATGCCCACTTTGTGTTCCCGAGAAAGTTCTGTTTCCCCAGTTGTGAAATGAGAGCATTTGGATCAGATCAGCAGTTCCCAAACTGTTGAGGACTGGTGACATGAATAGGTCAAACAAGACCTTGTATGCAGGCTTTGGGGAGGCCCAGTGTGAAGTCCTGGTGGCAAGGGACTTGCAGTGCATCCCTGCTTACTGGCTTAGGCTCCTCATTTTTGAAAGGATGCTTCCTAATTTCTTGAGAACCTGTCCTCTGTGTTGCATGGTTTGGGAAAAGCTGTCCCAGTTGATTACTAAGTCCAGCTCCTGAATAAACTCACCTAACCTCAGGAGATGGCCTGGTGACGGCAGAGTGCAGCTTGTGGGTGCAGATCCGGCACCTTGCTCCTCTGTGGAATGTGGTGAGGAGCATGTTAGGTTGCCAGGCTCCCAGGCTCAGCACTGCTTCTACTGCTAGCTCTGTGACCTTAAACAAGTCACTCAACCTCTCTGAGCCCCCAGTTTCCTCACCTGTAAAATAGTTCAGTGGTGAGGTCACAGTTAATGGAGCCAGATAAGCCCTGGCAGTACCACTTACCAGCTTTGTGACTTTGGGCAAGATATTTAATCTCATTTAATTCTCATCTGTAAAATGGCAAAATAATAGTACCCAATGCATTGAGTTCATTGTGAGAGTTCAGTGGGAAGGTCCACATAAAGCAAATGACACAGTAAGGGCTTTATAAATTACTGCCCATTGGGATTATCCTGTAGAGCTGCTCAAGCTCTTGTGATCCCTGGTGTCCTTCCCCTGGGAACACCAGTCCTGGGGTGCCTGAGGGTCTGATGTGCCCCTGGGTGCTGTAGCAGTTGCTGGGAGAGCCCTTGGGTCTGAGGCCCCAGGGAGCAGGCTTTTTCCTGGTGACTCCCAGCAGGCTCGAAGCACCCGCAGCTGCCTGTCTCATTCCTCTACAGGTGATGGAGGAGCTGCAGGCCGCTTCTGTGCACAGTGATGAGAGGGAGCTCCTTCAGCTGCTGTCCACCCCCCACCTCAGGGTAGTCACGCTGCGGTCCCTGTTCACCCACACAGCTTGTGTCTTCTGGGATGGGGGCAGGAAGGAGCGCTCACTCAATCATGAGACTGAAGAAAGGCAACTTCTGAGTGAGGGATCTTCAGTGCCAGTGTCTGGGGTTGTTGTCTCTCTGGAATGAAAGCCAAGATTCCCCCTTAGACCACTGCCCGGCCAAGGTCCCCTGGCCCCTGTGAGCTCTGGGCCAGCCTTTCATTTCTTTGCTTTCCTAACAGGCCATGCTCATGGTACATGACACGGTGGCCCAGAAGAATTTCGACCCTGTTCTCCCCCCTCTACCTGACAGTATTGATGAGGATTTTGATGAAGAATCAGTGAAGATCGTCCGCCTGGTGAAGAACAAGGAACCCCTGGTATGTGGCACCCATTTCTCTTCCCCACCCTCTCCCTGTTCCATCTAGAAAATGGGGGGTGGGGTTGGGGGAGGGGAGAAAACCTGGAACCCTCCTGAAGTCTTTGGAGTGAGTGATGGCAGCTTTGTCAGGGCTGTCACTTTTGTATGCAGGGTACCCCTTTCTCTGGGTGGATACAGCCTCCCTCAACTATGGCCAAGCTCCTTTGTGCAGTGAAGAACCTGCACAGCTGTACAGGCAGCCCTGATCATCATGCTCTGAACCAGAGATTGGCAAACGACAGCCCAAGGGCCAAACCCAGACCACTGCCAGTTTTTGTAAATAAAGTTTTACTGGAACATGGCCACCCTGTTCATTTACATATTGTCTGTGGCTGCCTTTACATTGCAATGGCAGAGTTGAGCAGTTTCGAAGGAGACCATGTGGGCCGCAAAGCCTCAAATATTTCCATTTGGCTTTTTACGGAAAAAGTTTGCCAATCCCTGCTCTGAAGACTGAGGAAGCACAGGGCAGCAGCCATTCTGCTCCCCAGCTGACAGATGGTTATCATTCTGGTCCTGGCTCAGCACAGATTTACCAAGCAAAGGGACAGGGTTGTTTATTAGATGGAGGGAAGTAAGGGAAGTTCAGAGAATTAAGTGCTTGCCTTAGAGATTCCGCAGCTAGCACTCTTTATTGTCTCCTTTTATCAGATGACCTCAGATGAGCCACTTCAACAAACAGACCAGCATCTCTCCTCTGCCTCTATTTTCTTACCTTCAAAACAGGGCAGTCATCCATCGACTCGGCAAACACATTGTGTACCCTCCTGTGTGCCAGGCACCCTGTTGGCTGCAGGCAGTTCAGAGATGATTAAAACTTAGTTCTTGCCCTCTGGGAATTCACAGGAGGTAGTGACTGGGGGCTCCCTGGAAGGGGTAATGCCCATACTGAATTCCAAAAAGAGGAACAGGAGTTTTCCAGAAGGAAAAGGGAGAGGGGCATTCCACACGGTAGACTGCACGAACAAAGCCATGGGGAGGTAAACGGCGTGGTATACTTAGGGAACTCTGAACAGCCTGGTGTGCGCATAGAGTGCCAAGTGTGAGGTAGGGAGCGACAGAGGTGAGGCCACATCAGTGGCAGATCACGAACCTGATTGTCCACACACAATTGCTTCGCTTGACCCCAAAGGCAGTGGGGAGCCATTGAAAGGTTTTAAGTAAGAAATTGTGTGACCAGATTTGCAATTTAGAAAGATCCCCCTGGCTACCGAGTAGAAAGTGGCCCGGAATCTGAGGCCAAAAGCAGAAAAACCAATTTGAGGGTCAGATATATGAGGTTCAGAAATGGGGCTTGGCCTAGGCCTGTGGGAATAAGGAAGAGAAATCCAAGAAATATTTCAGAAATGAAACTAATGTCACTTTGGGACTGCCCCGGTTTGGGCAGGAGGTTGGGGAGCCACCTAGGATAATGCCCAGGTATCCAGCCGGGATGACTGGGTGGGTTCTGGGGACATGATTCATGGGAGGGAATAACGAGGAGCTTAGGCCCCGTTGAATTCAAGAGGCCTGTGTGACCCACAAGTGGAGCTATCTAGGGGGAGGATGGATTATATGTCCAGAGATACAAATTTGGCAGCTTCCAGCATCCAGGAGGGGTGAAAATCACACCTGAGCGGTTGAGACCAGCAGGGTAAAGAGAATACAGAGTGAAACAAGGGGAGGGCCAGGGCTAAGCCCTTTAATCAACATTTAGAAGGCAGATAAAGGAGGACTCAGCGAAGGAGAAGATTCGTTATTGAGAAGAACAGGGAGAGAGGTGTCACCGAGGGTCCAGGCTAAGAGAGAATTCCAGAGGGAGAGTGAGCACCAGAGTCAGACAAGAGGGAGACCCGAGGAGACAAGACTGAGGGTGGTAGCTGGTGGGTCTTTAGTACTTTTGCTGGTGCATTTGAGATTGCAGGGGTGAGTGACTCAGAGGGCAAGAAGCAGAGAGAGCAAACACAACACTGCTTCTTTAAGAAGCTTCGCTCCAAAGGAACGGAGACTGGCTGCGGCTGGATGGGAGTGCAGGCTTTTTAATGATGGGAGAGACTTGATAATAGTTTTAGGATCAGGAGAAGGAGCCAGTAGAGAGGGGGCATTGAGAATGCAGGAGAGGGAGGGAGGGATAGAGGAACCAGCTTAGACAGAAGGAGCCCCTCCCCTGAGATGGAGGAAGGAAGAAAGGATGAACAGAGATGCTGGAAAGCTGGAAGATCTAGAGGCAAAAAGCCACAGGATGCTTAGCTGATGGCCCCTCTTTTCCGCAATATTTATCTTATGTACTTCAAATAGAGGACATGAACGAAGTTAATAAGTGTGCCAATGTGTTTGCAGTTACAGCCAATAATAAATGGTTAGCATTTATTGAGCGCTTACCGTGTGCTAAGTGCCTTGCACGTGTTACCTGATGCAATCCTTGCACAACCTCCTGAGTTAAATGCTATCCCAACGGAAACTGACTCAGAGAGGATAATGGGCTTCCTTGCTAAGGCTGCATGCTTTTAGTAAATGGCAGAGTGGATTCAAACCCAGGGCTGTCCAACTCCAGAGCTTAGCTCTTCACCTGATTGCCGCCCTGCCTCGCTACAGTCCAGCCTGCGTGGTGCACAAAATCAAGGGCCCATTTGCGCCTTTCTTATCCTTGACATCCCTTCTGCTGTGTTTCACGGACCAGGTCCTGGTCCCGAAGCTCCAGCTGGGGCGTAATTGGTTCCCCTCGGCAACCGAAGGCCCAGCAACCCTGTGATTGGTTAGAGGCAGGATGATTTGCTGGCACATAGTCTCCTCATTATTAAATATCTTTGCAAGAGGCAAGGGCTGTGATATGATAGAGAAAGCACTGGATTAGGCCTCACAAAAAGCTTCACTTCTTACTAGCTGGGTCACCTTGAAGGTGCTTACGTTTTCTGAGCCCGTTTCTCATTTCTAAAATGAGATTGTCACAGTGTTATCATGCTTTGTTTACACTGTAAAGTGCTGTGCTATACTAATGTGAGATGTTGGGTTTATGGCGTCCTCAGCATTGGAAAGGTCCCCACTGATCTGCCCTCTGGGGTGACAGAGGGAGGGATGGGGAGGCCATGTTGGCTCCAGAGAGTCGGGGTCTGAGGTTTAGGGCTGCATCTGAGGAGTCTGCCTGCTCTGTCTCTGATGCAGGGTGCCACCATCCGGCGGGATGAGCACTCAGGGGCTGTTGTGGTGGCCAGGATCATGAGAGGGGGCGCAGCAGACCGGAGCGGTAAGTGGCATCAATGCCGTCCTGGCTGAGGTGATGGGCATCGCCCCCCTTTGGCCACAGTTCTCCTTTCCCCCTCCTATCCAGTCTCCTGTTTGGGATGTGCTGGGAGAAGGGGAGCAGGGCTGAAATTCTCCTCTCTTTCCCAAGCCCAGTAGAAATCTTAATTGTCTGACAATCTCAGGCATGGAGGACTTGGGGGCGGGACCAGAAGGGCTCATGCGTTGGCTTATCACGAGGACTGTGGTAGTTAAGCGTACAGCATGGGCTTGGCAGGTAATTCCTCACTTGGGGGCAGGGACATCCTTCCCTACCATCCTGTTGCCACTATTAAGGAGGGGAGGGTGTTCATGTCCCAGATTTGTTTGGGTGGAAAACAGGTTGCGAATCACTGGTGTGGGGAAAAACTGAGTCAGGAGGCAAAACTGCTGGTGTGAGGGGCGTTGCCCCCAAAGTCTGGGGATCATTTTTGTGGGGAATCCCTCATGAGCTTCTCAAACATGAGCAAGTGCATGAACCCCCTTCCCCTCAGAGCATCTTGTTAAAAGGCAGATTCTGGTTCAGCAAGTCTTGTGTGGGTCCCGGTCTGCACCCCTAACCTCCTCCTGGGTGGTGCTGATGCCACTGGGCCCCTGTCTCCTTTCAGTAGCAAAGAGGGCCTAATATGCAGAAGATGTTTGTCATTAAAACGGAGGCCAATAGACAGGTGTGTTTAACACTCTTGATGACATTTTCCCTGGTGCCCTTAAGTTTCCTTGTTAAGATTTGAGAAGGACATTCTTGGAGTGTGTCTGTAAATGCAGGAAAGTGAGGAGTTAATGATATTTTTAAAGATGCGGAGGTTACAGCAGAAAGAACACAGGCTTTCTACGTCAAAATAACTGTGTTTTAACACTGGCTCCATTAGTTTTTAGCAGTGTGGCCTTGGGCAAGCTGCATAATTTTTCTGGATCTCAGCTGCCAGTTGTAAACTGATGATTGCCAGTGAGGCACCCAGCTCACGGTTCATCCCAGTCCCACCCACTGTCTTTAAGCCTTGAGTCTGCCCTGCAGCAGGTCCCTAAGGTGGGCTCCAGTGGTGCCCAGAGCTCTGGGTTCTGGGGTCCGGGGCCTCCTTCCTATGCTGATGGTCAGCACCTGTGTCTCCTAGGCCTGGTCCACGTTGGAGACGAGCTTCGAGAAGTGAACGGGATCACAGTCCTGCACAAGCGGCCCGACGAGATCAGCCAGATTCTGGTCCGTGCTGCATGTGTGCTGAAGGTTGCTTTGGAGACCAAAGCCGGGCACTTCCTGGACCCAGGGCAGATCTGGCTCAGTCTCCCTGTTTTCATGAGAAGGCTGCAGACAAAGTGGCCTTACAGTGTGCCTAGGTGTGGGGTGGGAAGTCCAGGCCATCTGCCTCTCGCAGACCCTCAGCATCAGCACAGCCATCCCCCTGACCCCTAGCTCCCTTTCCCGAGGACCGTTCTGGGAGACCCCCCTCAAAAGGGTCCCCTTTTCCAAAGGGCCGAGGAATATGGGACAAGAGGTTGCAGCACAGGGAGGACCCGGAGCAAGGGTTTTGAGGTCCTGGGTTTGAACCCTGCTTTCTCCATTTTCTAACTGTGCAACCTTGAGCAAGTTATCAAATCATTCTGAGTTTCAATTTCCTTTCCTGGAAAGTAGGGACAGGGATGGTTTCTCTTTCAGTGTGTGATGATCATTAGTATGTAAACATCTGGAAAGGGATACAGTGCTTCACATCTGTGCTGGGATGAAACAGACTCCCGAGTCCATTCTGGAAGTTCAAGTAAAAACTGAAATTGTAAAGAGCCCAGTCATAATTTTATCCTCTATCCTTACCATTCTCCCCCGACATGACACTCTTTGCTAACTTCTGATGGTTTGGGGGCAGAAACAAGATGAAACCTGAAAAGAGGAGGCCCGTTCTTTAAGACCCCACTGTAGGGGCCCTGGCTGTTGGCAGCCCCTCCAGTCTTTCTGCCTCCACTGCCCGTTTCCTGGTTCTGGGCACTGACCTTGTTTTCCAGAGTGATACCTGGCCAAGGGGACCATTGGGTGAGATGTGCTCTCATGGGCTGACAGCATTCTTCCTCATGGGCCCCACATATGTAGGTGCAGGGTCCCTGTCAGGCAGAGGGAAAGAGAACCCCTGGAAAGGTAGGAGTGGCCTGCCGTTGGAGAGTCCATTGGGGAAGATGGACGCAAAGAGGGAAGTACTGCTTGGGAACCAGCCCCAAATCAGGCAGGAAGGAGGAAAAGGAAACTGGACTAGGTTATTAAAATCACCTGAGAAGAAAGAAAGCCGGGCAGCCCTTTGGGGCACTAGAGGTCAGGAGTGATGCAGAGCTGGAATTTAGGGCATGCATTGTCCTCAGGTTCTCATTTAAAATTTGTCTCATTTAAAATCTCATTGAAAATGCCGATACTTGGTTTTTGAGTTTTGTTTTAGTTAATTTAACCGAGTGCCCCCATAGAAGGGTGGGTCACAGGGTGGGCAGCGAGTCTGACTTTCCTCCGACTTTGAGTTTTCAGACCTGAGAAGTCAGACGTGAACTTGTGGAGGGTTAGACCTGGAAGACGATAAGCCTGTGCTCTCTCTCTTTCAGGCGCAGTCCCAGGGATCCATCACCCTGAAAATCATCCCAGCCACCCAGGAGGAGGACCGTTTAAAGGAGAGTAAGGTATGGGAGGGCTGGAAGTGGGGGAAGGGCCCCAGTCCAGCCTTTGAAAAGGTCATTCGGGAAGAGATCATACATCTGGTCCTTAGAACGTGTGCTTGATAGATTGTAATTCAGTCACCAAGTGACTCATTTATTTGTATCCTGCCTCATTTTAAAGAGGATTTGATGTAGCTTACTAATAAAAGGGAAGCTTATTTTAATTGAAATAAAAAATCAGGGCCGTGGAAGGTGTCACCTCGCAGGGGTGAGGAAGTGAGGCTTGAGGGTGGTGAGGATGAGTAGGAAGTCCCTGGTGAAGAAGTGGAGGGCAGGTCGGGCAGTGGGATCTGCATACACAGAGGCTCAAAGTGATGGAGAGGAATATGTTTGAGTGTTGGTGGGGTCTGGGAGTTTTTGTTTTTTGTTTTTGTTTTTAGAGGGGAGTGATACAAACATATTTGTGTTTTAGAAAGCTCTTGGGGTAGCCACCTGGAGGAGGGTGGAGTGGGTGGAGACTGGAGGAACACCTGATAGGAGGTTGTTATAGAAACCCAGGTGAGAGGTTGTTAACACCTGAGCTGAGGTGGCAGTAGAGAGGACAGAAGAGACATTATCTGATTTCAAATAAATTTGGATGTGAACTTCCTGGCAGCCAAGGCAGAAAGGAGAATGTAACGAATTATATACTTTTCATTGGTGGATAGAAGAAAGCAAGCCTGTTTTTCAGGAAAGCGGACTCCTGAAGCCCCCGCCACCCAGTACTAAATGCATGAAAGAAGGGACATTCCAGCCCCTGGTACAGACTAGGTGTTAATAAATATTTTGATAAATGGGGATTCATAATGGACAATGTCTTTGATACCAGTTTATTTTTTTAATACAGAAAATGAAATAATGTTTTTATGGCTTGCTTTTTATTTGCATTCTTCCACTGAATCCCAGGACACACATAATATGGACTCTTTCTTACCTGGTGGAAGGTGGTTCTTCCTGGGACAAGTTAATGTGGTCGTCATAAACAACTACTAAAGTTTTTAACTTGATACAGGAAGAGAACTTGGTTTTCTTAGAGGACGAAATAGGTAGCCTCTCCCTTAGCCCATCCTTCCTAAATATTTCTTCTTGAGCCAGAAGCTTGGCCTGAGCTGCCCATTTTTTATTATACTCTCTTCTGCGTGGCTGGGACCCTGGTAACATCTGTGGCTGGATGAGGATATCTGTCCTCACAATATCCGGCTAGGAAGTTCTTACTGTTGTCTAAATGAATCTTTTCTGGTTGGCACATAAAGGAATATGATTTGGATCTAAGGAAGCTCTCTGAATGTTTTTTCCCCTATTTGCTGTTAAAGTAATTAGGCCCAAATAGAAATAAGTAAATCCATGCCACTTACTTGTAGAAGAGAACAAGGAAGTGTGACAAAATGTGTCTTCCCACCATCTTCTCTAACAAGGATGACTTCAAGGTAAAGGGTAGCGTTAGGGGTTGGCCAAGAATATGACAGATGAGGCAGGATTGAGCTGTAAAAAATGTAGTGTCAATTACCCACTGAAATGTAATGGTAAGGAAATAACTAACCGTAGTTTTGTTGATATTTGGGTTCTTACCAAAACATCTTGATTACTTATTTAACTGATGGCTGCTGATTTCATTAGGGGCAGTTAGCAAATCAAAAATCACATTTGAGTTACAGATTGTGCTTGTCTTTGCTTTTTGTTCCTGGGACTAATTGTTGCTTTGTGCATGCTAAGGACAGCAGATCACGTAACAAAGGAAATATTTAGGTTGGAAAGAGAAATTCAGACTTGGGGCCCACCTATTAATTTTCTGATTCTTGAGGGATTTCCTGACTATAATAATCAAAATGGTTGAAGAACAATAAGAAAACATGTATGGTGTGTTTCTGATTAGCTTTCGATTCTCAAGGCTGCTTGTTCTTCCAAATTGTGAACGGTAATTGTCATATGTCCTTCAGTGTGGCATAGACACACCTATGCTTCTGTGATGAAGGTCCACCTCACCGGAGCCCCTCCTCTGCAGGTGTTCATGCGGGCACTCTTCCACTACAACCCTCAGGAGGACCGAGCCATTCCCTGCCAGGAGGCAGGCCTGCCCTTCCAGCGCAGGCAGGTCCTGGAGGTGGTGAGCCAGGATGACCCCACGTGGTGGCAGGCCAAGCGAGTGGGCGACACCAACCTTCGAGCTGGCCTTATTCCCTCCAAGCAGTTCCAGGAAAGGTGGGTCTGGGGTGTGTTGTAAGGGGGTGGTTTTGGAGTGGCCAGAGGCATAGGTGAATGACAGACCCCCAAATCTCTGCCACCATAGCCAGAGGGGCACACTGTGTATTGTTCCCTGAAGGAAGGACCAATTGCACTTGTGTTTGTTTTTCTTGACCTCTAACCAGTGGTATTGACTATTTGAGATTTAAATCCATATACGGAAACCTATGTTATTAAATTAATGTATATCTTATCATGCACACTTGGAGAAAGTTGAGAAATAAAATACAAAACTACAGAAAAGGAGGACGAGGAAAAGAAAATTACCCAAATTCTCGCAATTATCTAAACAGCATAATGTATTTCCTTTCTGTGTTTTTTATGTGAATGTTGCATATAGAATTTGAGGTCTTGCTTTTTTTTTTTTTTTTAACTTAGCATTTTGACATTAGCATTCCCACAATATTACCTATTCTTTTTTTTTTTAAGATTTTTATTGGGGAATTGGGGGGATGGGAACAGACAAGCTGCTGTTGTTTTGTTCTTCAGTCTAGTTGTGGAGGACGCTGCTTCACTGGCCCAAGTTGGCACCATCATTGCGCTCTTCCCAGGCGAGGCAGATCAGTCGCCGGCTTCTGGACGGCCGCTCACTGCGGCTGCTGGCCGCTCACACTGGCTGCTGGCTACACACGGTAGCCCATGGCAACCCACTGCCACAGGGAGTGCAGCCTACGCCGTCGCTGGCAACTCATGGCAGCCCAGCTCCAGGTTGAGCTGTTGTTCAGCATCTTAGCTGTGGAGGGCAGTGTCACTGGCCCTCATATGTGGGATCTGAACCGGGGCACTCTGGCGTCCCAAGCCAGTTCTTAACCAACGCGCCACTCGGCCAGCCCAATATTACCTATTCTTTATTGTGTGATTTTGGTGACTACATCAGATTTCATCAGGAGCTACGTACACCATTACATTCATAGGCAGTATGAAAGTATTTATTACGAATGGAGCTGGCCTGTGCCAGGTTTCCCGCAGGCTGCTGTGAACCCCTGGATTCTGCCCTGGAGGAGCCTACAGTTTAGCTGGAAAGTCACACATAGTTCAAACAAACACTATATAAATGTGAATGGGGCGAGGGAGGAGGAGATGGCGCTCTGTAAGGCATAGTAAGAGGATTGGCTCTCATCTGGGTATACAGGGAAAGCTTCTCAGGGGAAGGGTTGTACCTAAGTGACTTTACTCTTTCTTTCCAGTCGTCTCCACTGCTACAGGGCTGCAATTATAATCTTGCACATAGACTGTTCCTCATGTTTCAAATTATTTCCTTAGGCTAGATTTCCAAAGCGTAAATTCTGGGTCAGAGTGGGTGGCAGTTATGACTGCATTGCTTCCCCTGGGGTTTGTAACCCTCTTCCACCTTTTGGGGGCATGGAATGTGATAACAGTAGATCTCAGGGTTCATCCGTTTCAGTGGTCCTCGTGGTGTGGCCCTGAGGGCAGGGACAGCAGCAGCCCCTGAGAACCTGTTAGAAATGCAGATCCCTGGGCCCTGCCCCAGATCTGCTGAATCAGAAACTCCAGGAGTGGACTCTGAGCTCTCTGTTCTTGCGGATACCCCAGGGGATTCTGAGGTGCTGAGGCTTGAGAACCACTGCTCTCTTATTTCCGGGGAGCCTCACACCCATCTGCATCTTTGGCTTCAAGGTCTTGGGGGAAAGCGCTTTAGCTGCATTTAAATGTGGAAAGCTAGACACCTCCAAGAGCCCTGGGCGTTTTCTCAGGTCGGAGATGAGGCCTTGGCGGCTGCCTCTCCATTAACAGCCATATTGGATAATGTGTGAGGCTCGTCCTCAGCCTCTCCTGGGAGCCGCTCTGCTATTTTCCAGCTTCCTCAGGGATGGGAAGGCCAGGTGAGAGTGGAGAAGGGGCCTTCTTCCTCGAGAATGTCATAGGAAAGTTAACAGCCAACTGCTGGCTGTGGGCATTGTGCTGGCTCCCCGTGTGTGACCGTCTTGGGCTGGGTGAACTTCTCCCAGAGCGAGACACTCAGTTTCTTCCCCCTCAAGAGCCAGTGAGCGCCCATGAAAGTGCCTTTCTTCCCTGGAACTCAGTGTGAAGCAGGAGGCCCTCAGAGTGCCTGGCTGTGTAGGATCCAGGCCTTGGTTTCTCTTGAGTTTTCCATAAGACTCCCCCTGACTGGTTCCCTGGCCCAGCTCATGGGCATACCATCCCCTTCTGTCCCCACAGGCGCCTAAGCTACCGGAGAGCCACAGGTACCCTGCCAAGCCCCCAGAACCTCAAGAAGCCCCCCTGTGAGTAAATTGGCAGGGTTGGCACTTCAGGGAGGGGCCAGGGTTAGGATTTGGAGGCTTTGTGCCAGGAAGAAACAGCCACTGGGCTGGAGGGGGCACCAAAGGTCCACTCTGAGCGCTCAGGCCTCCAGAGGAAGGAGGGGGTGGGGAGAGGGATGAGGAGGAAAATGAGGGTGGGTTGGGAGACCTATTCCCTGGGGAGGAGCTTCTATATTTGGAGCCCATAGGTGACACTGAGGGGCCTATTAACACCTCTCCCAAAACTGTGTGCAAACCTCTATGTGTGAGTGAGTGTGTCTGTCTGTCTGTCTGGGAGAGGGTCCACAGCTTTCATTACATCCCCAAGGGGCTCTCTGATCCGGTCAATTTAAGAACCTCTGATTTGCGGAGGGAATGGAGATGGCTGTGAGTGATCCTGTGCCTCTGTGTTAGAGGCCGAATTTGGCAAATAAAAATAAAGGATGCTCTGTTAAATTTGAATTTCAGATCAATAAATAGTTTCTTAGCGTAAATATGCCCCCAATATTGCATGGGATATACTTATACTAAAAATCAATTCATTGTTTTTCTGAAATTCAATTTTAACCGAGTGTCCTGTATTTTATCTGACATCGCTACTCTGTGTAGCACTTTACCTTTTAGAAAACACATCCATCTACCTTCTTGCCTTCTAATCATCAGAATAGCCCTGTGAATTAGTGGAGTTGGGGCATCCCCTTTTCCAAGATGGGAAAATGGAGGCTCATGAGATCGAGGGAATGAGGCCCGGGTTGAGTTTTCAGAGAGCCTGTGATCAGAGCCCCCGATCAGCGTATAGAGAGGAAGCTTTCCTACAGCAGGCATCCTAGAGTGAGCTGCTCTCGTGGCTTGGCAGCCACTGCCCATGGTCACTCTTCTAGACTTGCTCTCAATCTGAAGGGCTGTTGAGTAAATTGGCCTTAAGGCTGCTTACGCCAGTGATGAGCTGGCTTTCTTTGGGCCACTAATGAGACACACACAGGAAAACTAATTAGAGCAAGTCTTGGTTTAATAATGCACCACAGCTCGGATCACAGGTTTGTTGGAAGAGAGAAAGAGGGGACAGATGGAGGGCTCCTCAGGCCCATGAGGTCATGGCTGCCTCGCAGCCCCAGGGCATCCTGGTTCCCCTCCACTAACGCTGTTCTATCTGTCTTTTGTGCAAACCACAGATGATCAGCCTTGTGACAAAGGTAGGCCTGGTAATTGTCCCTGTGTGCATGGATAAGGCCTCTTTTCTGTGGAATGTCTAGGGCTAGAGGAACTTGCCCACCCCACTTTGGGGCGGCTGTGCCCCTCTGGCTCTTTGCACACTTCCCCCTGCTCTGCCAGCTGGACTGGCCTGTTCCTTGAGACTGCAGAGCTGGTGGGGACGGAGCCCCTCCCTGCCCACCTGGCATGCAGGGCCCAGTCTTCCCGGGGTTCTGGCTGGGCTGACTGTGACTGGGCTGGGTAGGAGGCAAGAGACATGGGAGGTGGGGTGCAGGGTGAGAGAATCTTCCTTATTCACACTGATCCTAACTCAGAGGGACTGGGATGGGGCCTCCTGGCCCAGAACCCCCGCCAGGGCCTGGAAAGGCTATTTGGGGCCTAAGCATGGAGAACTGAGCTAAACAGAAGAACTTGTTTTTCTGGGGTGGCCAGGATGTAGGATTTCCCCTGAGGCCTCCTGAGACGCCATCCCAGAAGGCTTTGCCTGGCCGTCCAGGGGCCTGGTACCTGTTGGGGTGTATGTCCAGCATAGCTCACTGGCTTCCCTCTTTGTTTGGTTCCCAGAGACCTGTGACTGTGAGGGGTACCTCAAAGGGCATTATGTGGGTAAGTAGCAGAGGCTTTCCCCCAACACCCTCTCCCCCATCCATGCACAGCCCATCATGGGCTCCTGGGTCAGGGAGAGACAAAAGCAGAGTGATCTGAGTGCCGGGAACCTTTTAAGAGTAACTGAGCCTGTGAGACCCACGTTTCCCCAAGTCTCTGTCAGCAGAGGAAGGGCTGACCTGCCCAGGCCTTGGGGTCCCCCACCTCAAAGTTTACCCAGCCACTGGAAGCAGGGCCCTGGCAGGAAACGGACATGGACCCTTACATTAATACCAATTTTATTATTATTATCATGATCTCAACTGTACACCACCACCGCATAGTAACAGAGCCTCTTTCTAGTCTCCAGAGTACCTTCACTTCTTTTATTTTGATCAGTCTTTTCAAAGGTCTTAGAGCCAGGCAAAGAATTTTTTAATTTTTGATTTTGAAGTAATTTCAAACTTACTGAAAAATTGTTAAGAACTGTACAAAGAACTCATGTATACTCTACGCCCAGATTCACCAGTTGTTAATACTTTGCCATGTTTTCTTTATCACTCCCTTTTTCTGCATACATGCATTTTTTTCCTGAGTCGTGTGAGAGTTAGTTGTAGACATCATGCCCCTCAGCAGGACAAGGACATTCTCTTATATAACTCAGGGTAATTATCAAATTCTGGGACTTGAACATGCATACAATTCTATTATCTAATATACTGTTTATATTAACATTTTGCAAATTGTCCCAACAGTGTTCTTTAGAGCATTTTCCTCTAATCTAGGATCCAGTCCACGTATTGTACTTGTAGATTTCTATTCCCATTTCATGGATAAGGGAATCAAGGCTCAGAGAGGTGGTGCTAAGTAAAACAGTGACCTTGAACGCTGTATTTGGATGCCAGGTGGCCACCCTTTCCACATATGACTGTGTGTTTCGATCAACCCCTTCCTGTAGCAAGTGGAGGTTGGGCGAGGCCAGTGAGACTCAGTTCCACTGCCAGGTCAGGCCAGGTGGAGAAAGTCTTTATTGGGAGATCCTGGAACAAATGCCATGGTACCCCCTGCCCTTCTCCTAAAGCTGGTCTTCGGAGGAGCTTCCGGCTGGGCCGCAGGGAGAGACTGCAAAGCCCACAGGAAGGAAAGATGTCCACAGTAGCTGAGTCTCTGGAGCTGCTGACCTATGAGGAGGTGACCAGGTACCAGCACCAGCCAGGCGAGCGGCCGCGCCTGGTGGTTCTGATTGGTAGGTGACCTGCATCTCCAGGGAGTGGGCTGGTTTCCGCCCTGGAGGAGTGGACGGGAGCTCAGCCGTGTCCCTGGTCAGCATTCCCTCTGTTTCCCAGGATCTCTGGGAGCCCGACTACATGAGCTGAAGCAGAAGGTGGTGGCAGAGAACCCACAGCACTTTGGTGTTGCTGTTCCACGTAAGAGGGCCCGTGTGTGGGAGTGTGTGGGTGTGTGTGGGGGTGGGTATGTGTGCACACCTACACATGAATGTTTTATGGGGACTTTAGGCAGATCATGGGACCTAGGCAGGATGGGAGAGACCCACTCTCGGTGGTCCACTACGTCCCCCTGAGGTAGAAGCTGGAGGATCACTTATCTGGTTCCTGCCTGGGCTGGGAGATGAGTCTAGAGCACACTGCAGGCAAAGTGGCAACCTCAACCGAGCACCAAGGGGCCCCCAGCAGTGGAGGTATTCCAGCCTCTTTTTCCAAATGGCTCTGACTCCTATGGCCCCTGCCCTCTGCCTGGATAAGAGAGCAGGGCAGGGAAGCCAGAGAGCCAGTGAGCGGTATCGCTTGGGTACCCCCTGGTAGCTAGATCCTCCCGTCAGGGTGGCTCCTGAGTCTAGAGGCAGCTGGGGATGCTGAAATCCAGTAGGTGGGAAGTCCTGGTTCTGCATGTGATGAGGAATAGGAGAATGAAGCGTGCTAGGGACTATACCAAGAGCTTTCATGTAGTAACGTAGTCAGCTTCCCCAGTACCCTTGAGAAGAGAGAATACTGCAGAGGAAGACACTAAGGCTCCGAAAAGGCTAAGTAACTTGCCCAGTGTCACATAGTTGGTAAGTGGTGGCGCTAAGATTCAGACCCAGGCAGCCTGCCCCTGTCACATTTTAACAAGGCCCCATGACCGCCTCTTACCTGCTGCCTGCCACTTCCTGTTGTTGGCTGTCCCTTTCCTTTTGGGACTCTCTCAGTCCCTCTGGCCTCAGAGGGATACAGTGTGGGCACCTGGTGACCACCAAGAGTGGCAGTAATGGGACCTTTCCAGAGTGTTCTGAGGAAGGGCAGCTACAAAGCTGCTCTCCTGGGCCTCGGGGTGCATAGCCTAGTCTGTGGGTTGTCAGAATTTTCTTCCAGAGCCCAGCCTGAAGTGGCAGGGTTGGGGGCGGGAGGTGGTGTTGGGGAGGCCATTCTGGCAGCACCCCTGTGATGGGCCTGGTAGGTTTCAGGTGATCATGGCCTTCCAGGCTGATAGGATGGACTGAATGAAACAGGACATGTGGAAGTTGGTCACACATCGATCCTTTGAAACCCTCAGATCCATCCCCTGGGGGAGGGGTACCTGGATGGTCAGGCCTACCTGCTTCCAGGTACCACACAGATAGGTGACTTTCCCACTTGCTTTTAGGAACTGGAGGAATCAGGGGCGGCTTTCCAGAGGCAGTGACCTTTATGCTGGGTTTTGAAGCATAAATAGGAGTTTTTAAGGCAGAGAAGAAAGAAAGAATTTTCTCCACAGAGGGAACAACATGTGCAAAGGGACAAAGGTGTGACCCAGCGTAGCAGTGTTACGGATTGGGGAAGTTGATGTGGATGATGTAGGGGAAGATGAAGCTGAGTTGGAGGCTGGGCAGATCATGAGGGTCTCATATTCATCTAAGGTCTTTAGAATGTAATCAGTGGGTGAATAAAAGTTTTAAAGCAAGGGAATGACATGGTCAGAAAAGTGACCCTAGCAGCTCTGCCAGAGGTTGGCCAAAGATACCAAACATAGAACACAGAGCATCCTCCTGGGTGGTCCCCAAGGGCCAGAAAACACTGTCCTCCAAGACCCTATCTTTTCTTTTGGAATGCTCTGGAAAAAACTGTGTGTTGCTGCGTGTGTGCTCTTATTCTGTGGAAGACCTGTTTTACTCCAGAAGCGTGCATCTCAATTCTCTTATGGAAATGGTTGGGAAAACACCGTGTGCTTTAAAATGATGTGGGAGCCATCTCTGCTGAAGCACACCTTGTCCATAATGGGACTGTCTGTCTTCATGTCTCTTTTTCTCTCAAAATGGGAAATAATTGAATAAAGAATTAAAAGCGTACAGCAGGGTCATCTGTGCTTGTGCCTCCTCTGTTCTCAAAAAGCAATTAGGAACAGGGATAAAATAAAAGCTGAGGACTAAGGATCGATTCCCCTCAGTGATTCTTTAAAAGCCGCATCAATGAAGCAATTTGGTAGGGTGGTTAAGGGTAAACATTTGGCATGAGACAGAGAGTTCAGACCTTGGCTCTACCACCTACTGGCTCTGGGTCACTGGCATGGTGCTTCACCTCTCCTCACCTCTCCTACAAAATGGGAGGCCGCCTCTTGCCTACATCAAAGAGTTGTGCAAATCCGCGATGTGCCTGCAAAGGACACTGTGCCTGATACAGGGACACTGAATGAATGGAAGTGGTTGGTTTATACACACATCAGCGATGAACTCTGCATGAGGGCACAGGCTGGCCGCTGTACTTGCTCACTGTGACCTGACATCTCTTTGCCCAGCTTTGCTTCTTTTTTTCAAAGATACCACCAGGCCCCGAAAGAGCCACGAGAAGGAGGGGGTGGAATATCACTTTGTGTCTAAGCAAGCTTTTGAGGCCGACTTGCATCACAACAAGTACGTTTGCATGATGGGCCGGTTAGCCCTCTGTGTAACTGTGTCTTTGCATCTGTCCAGTATTCCACTTGACCTCCTGGGAGGGCTTCCATAAAAGATGGGAGAAGTGGGAGAAAAGCCGTGGTGGGAAGTTCATTCATGTTTCTGTGCTAATTTAGGTAAGCTCAGGAACTAAAGGCCTTTCCCCTTTGGTGGTGTTCTAGGTTCCTGGAGCATGGTGAATACAAGGAAAATCTCTATGGAACCAGCCTGGATGCCATTCAGGCTGTGATGGCCATAAACAAAGTCTGTTTAGTGGACGTGGCGCCGGACGTGAGTTCCTGGGCCATTGGGCATTTCCTGTAGACGGAATTCATAAAGTAGGGGATTGTGTATTTTGCAGAACATTTGACCTCAGTCTAAGGAATTTGTAGTCTAGAGCACTGGATATTAAAATTTCCTTGGCTCTCCCTTTGAACATCTAATGAAAGCTTTGTACTCCCAAATGTACACCTTTATACACAAAAACTGCATTAAAATTGTAGGGAGTTCACGGGCCCTCGTGGTGGCCCAGAGACCCAGGCAGGATAGGAACCTCTGCGTGGAGTAAGTCATGTGGTAGATGGTGGCACCAACTGGCCAATTGTGATGTGACATGGAATTAAATGTGAATGCCCAGGTGGAAGCTGGGGCTCAGCACAGGGCATCAGGCCACCCCCTCCCTGACCAGGACAAGTAAAATTAGTGGCTTGGGGAACCCCTGAGGGAGGTGGTCAGGAGAGCAATTTGAAAGGAAGAAGGGGAAGGAGACATGACCCTGGGAAGTGCTTCCAAAATGTTTCCAGCTCTGTATACCCTGCCTGCTGTGTGCTCGACAGGGACTTAACCATCTTTTTAACCTTGTCTTTGAGAAACACTTCTAAGCTTTGACCTCAATCTGAGAGCTTGATTCTTCTATAGAAACAGCTGTGATTTTTATGATATGAGCGGTAGGTTTTATTTTGTAGAAGTTTGCTTGAAACAGATTCCAAAAAGCACACTATGTCTATAAAGGAAAACCCTCACGAATTTGGATTTACTGGGAGTTGGTGGTCAAAATTAAAGTCTAAATTTCAAAATTTTATTTGGAAAGTGACTTTGTTGATTTTTTTTTCTTTTGGCTGTAGATTGTACATATAGCAGTTGAATACCAGTATTTCCAAATAGAGGCCCTTCCATGAGAGATAGAATGCACTAATTCACAGGATGATTTGCATATGGAAAACCTTCTGAAACTTTACAATGTGTTTCAAGTGATTTCTTAGCAAACCTTTTCTTCTTTGAGTATCATAAAGAGGCCTGTGTGATAGCACACATTTTGCATTAGTGTAGTCCAAATTGATGACGTTTGACTAAATAGACACACATTGAATCCTGCTGGCTCATCCATCAGGACTGGGCAGGTGGAGAAGGGCATAAGAAGGTTAATTCGAGCTTGCAGGGTCAGAGCAAAGAGAGATGGATCCAGCCGAGGCTTTGCAACCTATGTTCTCAGTGAGTGGGCCTTCAGGGCCCAGCTGAGTCCAGCATCAAAGTGGAGGGCAGAAAAATAAGCAGCTGGTCTGCCCAGTTGAAGTCCACTGTCATATGATCATGTACAGGGCCTTCGCCACTGAGGTTATGTAATGGAAGCATACCATTACTGAGCATTCAAAAACTATGTTTCACAATAAAATCGTTCCAAAGTATATAATATTCCTGAAATGTCTTTCTCAGGCACTGAGACAACTGAGGACCTCAGAGTTCAAACCCTATGTCATATTTGTGAAGCCTGCAATTCAGGAAAGAAGGAAGACACCACCCACGTCGCCAACTTGTGAGGACACAGCAGTTCCACTTGTGAGTTTAAGGTTGACAAGGGCCTGTTACAGCTACATAAGGGTGCTCGTACCTTTTGCACAGATCACCTTTTTGTTTTGCTTATTGGCCAGACTTAGATGTAACCAGATGTAACTTAGATGTAACCAGATGTAACTTAGATGTAACTTTCTGGTCAAGTAACCAGAAAGCTCAGGGTGGGGCAGCCAGAAATGCTTCCCAATTCAGACAGGGGTGGCTTTGCCTGGGCTCCCTCCCACCCACCCTCCACTCCCTCACATAAGCACCTCCTGGAAAATAGGGACTGACATCTGTCAGGGACCTGACCTGAGTGTGACAAACCACACAAATCTCTCCTAAGCCAAACCTAAGTAGTTTTTAATTGAAACCAAGTTCAGATCCAGTAAGCTAATCCAACATGGGGGCAACGGGCAGCACAAAGGGAATCTTTACCATATTGCGATTCAGGTTTGTGACTCTTGCTGAAGCAGCAGATGATTGAACATTCCACCTTTACAAGCCAGGAAAGGGATCAAGGGAATCTGTGGCTGCAAGACAAATGTCACACGTTTTATTCCATCAGAAATGTATTTGCATTCTTCCAAGATGCAAATATTTATTGGAAGATTGAGGTACTTAGTAGCAAAAATGTTCCTTTTATAATTTCTCAAATAGCTAATTGCTTCCAGGATGCAGTGAGGGCCCCGGAGGAGGGAAAATTCCAGAAGCAGTAGTTGGGTCTACAGGATGTGTTTGTAACGGGGTAGGAGTAGGAGAGGTGGGCAGCACTGGGACACTGCAGAGTGCTTTTGAGTATGAGAGGAGCTCTGTAAGATACGATATAGAGTTGGGAAGCTTCTCCCAATTTAATCTAGTTTTTCCCCTCCTGGGAGAACGGAGGAGAAGAAACGATCTCAGTTCTCTCTTAGGTCTATGCTGTCTTTGTGGTAGCATATAAAAACTGTTTCCTAGACCTTTAGAACATGTCTTCTGAAACTGCAGATGTTCTTGCTGAAGTAGGAATCAGGTTTTGATTGGTGACAGAGAGAAGAGGAGGAGGGACTATTTGGGAATGTAGGTCCCTTTAAGGGAGGACAACTCACCCCCCGCCTTGGCAGCATCAAAACACTGAACCCCTAGAAGCAGAGGAGAGAAGGCAACAGAGGACTGGAGATAGAAAGGGAGATGGGTGAACACCCGTGACAAATTTCATTTTGTAACTTTGCTTAGAGTGGATCTGCCACTTTCCTTCCCCAAGCTATTTATCAGTCAACTACCTGCATGAAATTCTTATTAGAAGTTTTTGTATGAAGAAGCAAACATTGTACAGGTTGGGTGAAGGAGGGATCGTTGGCTATTTATACCTTAGTGTTTAGGTGTCAGGGAAGCAATCTGATTAAAGAAGTCAGGTACCCTAAGAAAGTGGAGCATTTGATCAAAGTTGTCCCAGCACTTTCTTAAATAACTCTACTGTGTCTCCTGGGCTAGTGTTTGGCCCTAGTATGAGGAAATAAAAAGAAGAATTGAGTTATACAGTATGAATTTAGGAATCTTCAGAGGGCGTTAGAGTTACTTATTCTCCTTCTTTCCCCCCTAGTTGATTCCAGAAATGCTTGCTTTGCTTTTATATAGTTATTTATAGTTCTTTCCTGTAATTATTTAACCAAATTGCCATACAACACAATAGTACCACTTGTTTGGAAATACCTTTGGACAGGAAGTGTCATATTCACACACACACACACACACACACACACACACACACACACACACACACACACAGAGATTATATAGAGTCAACATCCTCCCCAAAGCACTTCATATCATAACAAGTGCTCAGTAGATATTTTGTGAACTAATGACTGAACAATGATTATGTCTACTGCCCATTAGCTTTCTGGGAAGTTTGATAGGATATTGTCACTATTCTCTGTTTTTGTGTTCACAGTTGGTTATGAATGGGCCACAGGCATTACTTATCACTTAAAAATTAGAGGTTGGTACATTGCCCAAGACACAGGTCGTAGGTTTCTTATTTTGGGGGAGAACCACCCAGTCGCTCCATAACTGCCCCTTTCCTTGCAGGATGAGGAGCAGCAAGAGATGGCCGCCTCCGCCGCCTTCATAGACCAGCATTATGGGCACCTGGTGGACGCTGTGTTGGTGAAGGAGGATCTCCAGAGTGCACACAGTCAGCTGAGAGGGCTCTTAGAGAAACTGAGCAAGGACACTCACTGGGTACCTATTAGTTGGGTCAGGTAACTGTATCCTAGAACATCCAGGTTGGAGGGGACCTGGAGGACCATCTAGTCAGCCATGTTACCATCAAGGAATTGCAAGTGTGGCGAGGGGCAGAATTTTGCATAAACTCCATCATCAAGAAGAGTGGGAAGTCCTGTTGGTTGGTTTTTGTCTGTTGTTTTTCGCTGCATCCCTTTGGAGCAGAAAACATGAGTTGAAAGGGGGCATATCACAGAATAACACATGTCATTCATTAAAGTATCACAGGCCAGTTGACCCTGATTCTTTGTACCAAAGTTAAGTAGCCACTGTCTTTTGGGGGCGGTGAATGTATACAGTACCTATTTGCAGAGATGTAAGCTTTAGAAAGACGGTGACACTTCATTTATCCAGCTTTGTTGGAAGTTGAGTTGTTTTACCCAAGGGGATTTTTCCCATGTAACTGAAGTTCCCGTCTTCAAGCATCAAAACGTGATTTTAACCTTGATGATGGTGAGTGCTTGCCTGGCAATGGAAAACTTGGTTCTCTGACTTCTTAAATAGTGAGGATACGTGAACTTTTTTGGAAGACTGAGGAACACTTCACTGTCACCATGAATTACTGTACTATTCTATGATATAGGGGTGTTTTCAGGGACTTTTAAGGAAGGTAAGGCTGCTTGTCCCCTTTCTAAATACCCTCAGACTCCTACGATTGAGTCTTTGCTTTGATTTGTTCTACTCCGTCACTTGTCTCTCTCGTTACTGACAGCTGCCCTGGTTCTTGCCTGTGCCTACCTTCAGATTATAGGGGCTCCTGTCGTGCTAGATCATGGGAAACTAGATGAGCCCCCCCCAAAAAAAACAATAACTGTTTAAGACACGATATATCAGTCCTTACATAAAAATCAAATTATATAAACTCCGAGTATGGGCCTAATGGGTTGTTTCTGAGCAAAAGTGTTTGTCACACAGGATTTGTGAGATATCTTAGCTGCTCAGAGAATTTTGTTTTTTATTAATATCCAACATATGTCTATAAGTCTTCTGTGCCGGGAGCTATGCTAAGGCCTTTATATACATTACTTTGACAAATACTCCAAACCTACGATGGAGGATTATCATCATCCCCATTATATAATAAGAAAAACAAGGCTTAGAAAATTTACATAACGTGTCCAAGCTTGTACAGCTTTATTTTATTTTTTGGGTTTTTGGTTTTTTTTGCATATTTTATTTTTATTTTATATGTACAGCTTTAACTAAATGGCAGAGCTATAGTGTTTGAGCCTAAGTCTTCCTAATATCAGAGATGGTCACCAATTACTATCCTATACTGTGCTATTCTTTTGTGGTCTCATAATTAAGACCTGTTAAGTGATTGACTTGCAAGTGAGGTATGTGTTCACAGCTAGAATTTACAATAATATGCAGTGTGGCTGTAACTTCTGAGACTGAAAAGAGGCTGCTCACATGTGTAATTTTCAAGCTCTTTTCCTCGAGAAGAAAAGGAGGCCAGGTTGAGGGTGAAGCACCAGGGAGATTTGCTGCCCATTTAAATTTCCATTTTGCCTTGTTACACAAGGACACTTTACAGCTTTCTGGCTCACTAACCTGGTATGTCCACCTAACGGGATCGCATTCTTCAGACCTTTCTAGCAATAGGATGAGGACTTCTTTGCACTTACAGAGGACTGGATTCTTATCAAGTGACATTAGTCTTGAGCAGTTTCACATAGAACCAGGGCCGAAAGGGCAGCCGCCCCTTGAAGTGTGAATGGTACATGTGAAGTTGTGAGTATTATACAGGAGAGCTGTGATCTCAAGTCAGCTCTCAGGCAAACACCACATAAGTCAAAATTACTCATGATAAATCCCCCAGGGAGGCACCCTGCTGGAGATCCTAACCTCATCACTCACCAAGTCCCACCTGGGTGGTTTTTCCTCCAGTGTAGGAACACAGTGGTTAAGTACCAGATGACTTTTTTTGTATTTCATACTACTCAACAGACATCTTTTGCTTCTTAATATTTTTACACAATTGTCACATGAAATGACAATAATGCTCTTCATGTACATTAGGAAGCAAGGCATTGAGATGGGATGCTTGCTTTATTTCCTGTCAAAGTAGCTTCCCCACCTCGAAGACAAGCTGTGTCTACAGCTGTTTGTCTGCTACTAAATCTGTGAGAATAGAATGGATAGGGCTCCGGAGACAGAAGTCATTTGTAAAGTGTTTCTGCTATTTGTAAAAAAGCAGAAAGGTGTTGGAAAAAAATGCATCTGTTTACAAATAGATATTGGTGGAAGGTGGGTAAGTGCAATTCCAACTCCCGTTCTAGCTATTAATACATACGTTCTGATCTCCTGGGCAAAAATTTCACAAAAGTTCATCAGTCTGGGCCCCCACACCAAGAAATCTCCTTCTTACATACTCCTTGAGATGTATGTTCTATGGATTGTACCAATGTAAACTTCTTGGTTTGATATTGAATTATAGTTACACAAGATGCTAACACTGGGGGAAGCTGGTGAAGGGTGCAGGAGAACTGCCCCCCGCGCCCCCGCACGTTTATTTGCAATTTCCAGTGAATCTAATTATTTTAAAATAAAAAGTTTATTTATTTGTGATGAGAACATTTAAGATCTACCATCTTTCAAAATAAAAAGCTTAAAAAGTCAGGCTCAAAAACAGCATGACCAGTCATAGAAGCCACACCACATTGTCTTGCCATGTGTTTTGATATATTTTTTGACACTTTCACTGTTGCTGCTCCCTATAAATGAACACGGTACATGGAAACGTCACTGAAACCTTCTTTTCCAGTTTTGTGTATTCACAGAGGCACTAATGGCATTTGTTCTCTTTGCTGTCTGAACCTTAATGTCATCACATGCTTTTGTTTTCCATTTTGACAGAGCTGAACTTTTGGCTAGATCATCTCACCCCACCTATTCTCCCCCCCCCCCGCCCCCGATGGCAGTGATGGTATATGTTTTAAAAAGTTCTCTTTCTCTCATTAAAACTTCTTTTCATAGCCCCAAATAAAAATGCTTGTTGCCTCTCCTTCTGCCTGCCTCATTCTGTCTCCATTTGGGGATGAGACCTAAAGCCTGTAGGTAACTTACTCATTTTATGTTCCAAGCTTTATTGTAGTATCCCAAGATTAAGCATTCAGCCACTTAGGAGTGTCTTGAGATTCTAAGCAGCTAAGAAATCCTAGGGCCTTCTCTTGTATCTTTTCCATGGTGAGTAACCTTGTATTCAGGGAGAAGAGAGAGAGAGAGAGAGGAATGGAGAACCATCAATTATACAGAACTCTTCTTTGGAAAGCCTGAGTGTCCATTTATCCTTCTCCCCAGAGGGGGAAAAACCAAACTCAGTCATTACTAATAATGTTCAATAATACAAAATGCAAACACAATAGTACATTTGAATGGTGACAGAGACCTGTAATGTAACTTTGGCACAACATTAAAGAAACGAGACCTCCTGTTTATATCTTCTCCTTAGACTCATGTAAAGCTTCAAAGTTGATGACAAAAGACAGTCATTTCCTACTTATACAGAGAGAAAACAAAGAGCTCCAAGTTCCCTGAATGGATGACCAATCAATATTATAGAAGAGCAAATTCACCCCTTAACTAATACCCTTGCTCTCCATCTGTACAGTTCTTGGGGCTTTGGTATCAATTGTGATCACCGTGTCCTATAGTCAAGAGCAGCTGGGGCAACACATACCTATTCATCTTGGCAGAGAAGATATTTTGTTGTATTTCTAATATAACGTCTTGAATTCTTGAAGGAAAAAAAATCAGAAAGATTTATGTCAAAGCCAGGGTGCTGGTGCAAAAGTTGAAGTTCTAAATTCTAGGGATGGCTTAGAAAAGACTTACAGATTAAAGCCAGGGAGAGAAGGTTTTAAAAACAGTGCAGATGGCTTTTTTTTTCTTCTAAAGGGTCAAATTAACCACTTACTGGCTCATGTACCCTTCATCCTCTGCGCTTGTACATTCAGCCTTTCTTAATGAATTAGGGATAGAGGAAGATGCTACCAGATAGTTTTCTGAAACTGACACATAATGGCTTTGCTACTAAGGAGATGTCCTTAGCTCGTGGATGGTTTGCTCTGGGTGGTTTTTCTTTTACTAATGATTAGTGCATTTCTCATGATCTCACCCTCTGCCGCTTAAGGTTCCCTCCTGAGACTGACCCTACTCTGAATACAGATGAACTGAATGCACGGGAATATCCCAGAGTCCCCCACGTGCCTGCCAGTCTATCTCGGATGACCTGCGGTCATAGTAGGGTTTGCGGTCACCAAGCCTCTTCAGAATGCCCTGGTTTTCCACGGTGATTCTCACTAGCTCCCGGTTCCTTGTTTCTCTGTTTAAGCTGAAAAACACAAAATCCCGAGATGGGTGAAGAATCAAATTCTCCTCTTGGGAGTAGGGGCGATGAAGTCGTGATGTCATAAACCCAGGCTGCCTAAGTGCAAGGAGCAAGCTGTGCCACTGAGCGGAGGGCCCACGCGCCTGCTGAACCGCACTGCACTCTGGGAAACGTGCTTAGCATTGGCAGGTTTAGAGCTGTGGTTTCCAGCTCCACTGTCCAGAAGATTCTACTTGATTGGTCTGAGGTGTAGCTTGGGCAGTTGCATTTTGTAAAAGCTCCGCAGGAATTATGTGAAATGAGAATTGAGAATGTCTGGTTTCTATGATGAGGGAAGGCCCTGCCTATGGATAAAAAATGGCTGGTGACAAGTTTTGCTTCGCCTCACTTCCCTCAGCTTTAACTCAGTTTCAGATATACAAGGATACAGGAAAGGCATCTTGACACTCCCCACCACACACACACAGCCATCAAATTCTTTCCCTTGCATACTATTCTTCTGTAGCCCCGACCCCATTGCATTATTATTTACATAAATGTTTCCCCTACCAGAGCTTGAGTTGAGGTTAGGAAAGGTGTATCTCATTTCATCTCTATTCCTGGTGCTGAACACATAGCAGTTTGCTCAGGAAATAGTTATGGAGCCAAATCTTAAGAGTGCTGTGTCATAGTCCCAGCTATGGCCACCACTTTACAAAAGTATGCAGTGCTTTCTTTACTTTTTTTGAATTTTTTAAGAGTTTGTTTGAGCCAAACTGACGACATATACCAGGGAGCAAAATCTCAAATGCTCCCCTGCAGCACTTTCTCGTGACAAACTCTGAATAAGACTCCAAAAAGTCTCTTAGATGAAATAAAAGTTAGCTCTTTAATACTAGAAAAGGTCCCTGATTTCAGTAGTTTTTATTCTCCTTAACATGGTCTCTTTGGTTATTTCTCAAGATAACTTCCCGTAAGCACTCCTCCCACTCAAGAGAAACTTGCACTAAAATTTAACAAAGGGAGAGTCACTTTTGACTTTCCAAAAATGAAATGAAGAGAAAAAACAGTACCTCTTGGAAAAATATTCATTCCAGCAATCTACTGTGGCAGGACCGCGATGGGCATTGGCGATTTTCTGACACAGTTGCTTGTTTTCATATTCGATTTTGTCGATTTTCCTTTGTTCACCCTGGTGAGAAACCCCTCCATGGTGACATCATTGCTACATTGTGCTCCAACACACAATGGTTTGGCATCACCTTCCTCTGGGATTGTGGGAAAGAGGCAAATTGAGGGCTACTGTGGAGATTGGGAGCAGACCTGAGGACACTGGGGGTGATATGCGTGGGGAGGAGGAGAATTACCGAATCTTTGGGTTAGGTAAGTATTTAGAAGGCTCTGGGAAACTGGACCTCTTTAGGACACAGGTAAAAATCAGTAAGGTACATCTGTAGTTGACATGAATAAATAAATACCTGTAGTTTGCTCAGTTTTAAAATGTGATGTGTGTGCGTCACTGGAGGTTTGGTATCAACAGCAGGCTTCACTAGAGAAGGATAAAAATAAGCAATGTTATGTCACAGGTGTCCTCTTAGCAGCCTCAGGAAACCTACTCGCATTCTAGACAATGGCCCTGATAATAAACATTATGATTTTGAATTCTGATCTTAATCCAGTTCACGAATTTTAGTTAATTCTCCAAACTGATATCTTTGAAGAGTTTTAAGCAGAAATGCAAGAAAGGTGTGGGCTAGAAAAAGTAAAATTTACAGAGATAAATGTCCTTTGAATCCCATGAAAGAGCCTGTCTCCCACCCTCTCCCAGAGTGGCCAGCTTGTCTATTGCGTGCTCAAGTGCAAAAACGTCCTCTTTCCAGCTTACTTTGGTTTTAAATAGTTTAAATGAGCATTTCTATCAAATGAACTCCCTGGTAGAAGATAAATTTTGCCACTGATGCTAATGTCCTCTTGACCCAACTCAGTAGATAAGGCCACATCATTGCAAAGCCGTGAGCTGGTCTGGTTTACTGTCAATATCTCTAAGGTGGACCCTTCCGAAACCCCTGATCGCAGTGTCCAGCCCAAACTGCCCACATACCTATTTCTATTCTGTTCTTGTGAGATATGTAATGGCCAAAGTCCAGTGTCTTCCTGAAGGTTGTGCTCTGTCTGTGATTAGAGACAATTACAGGGTAGGCTAGGTAATCCAGGGAATTGTTCATCTTCTCTACCTAGTCTCACTTCAGAAATGAGGCACCTAGACTCCCCTGTGAGGTGTTAGCTGTCCCCATGACGGGCTGTCATAGTTACCCAGTTATGACATCAGGGACAGGTCTCAGGGAAGGAGGAGCAGCAGCAGAGCATGACTTGCTGTCCATGGGCTTCTCTCTCTCTTTTTTTTTTTAATAAAGATTTTTTATTGGGGAATTGGGGGGATGGGAACAGTGCTGGGGAATTGGGGGAAGGGGAACAGACAAGTTGCTGTCATTTTGTTCTTCAGTCTAGTTGTGGAGGACGTTGCTTCACTGGCCCAAGTTGGCACCATCATTGTGCTCTTCCCAGGCGAGGCAGATCAGTCGCCGGCTTTTGGACGGTCGCTCACTGCGGCTGCTGGCCGCTCACGCTGGCTGCTGGCTACACACAGCAGCCCATGACAACCCACTGCAGCAGGGACTGCAGCCTACGCCGTCGCCGGCGACTCACAGCAGCCCAGCTCCAGGTTGAGCTGTTGTTCAGCATCTTAGCTGTAGAGGGCAGTGTCACTGGCCCTCATATGTGGGATCCGAACCGGGGCCCTCTGGCGTCCCAAGCCAGTTCTTAACCATTGCGCCACTCGGCCGGCCCCTGGGCTTCTCTTTTGAAGCCTAACGTAGACCCAAGTCAAGATGAGGGGCAAGGGCCTTGGAAGCTTTCTCACGTGCTTTGAGTGCAGGTGCCATCAGCACCAGCTGGAAAAGGCGTGGAATGCTGGGAGGAGTGCGGGTTGAAGGAGAAAGGATGTAACCAGCCTTGGGCTGTAAGTTAAATAGTCTCCACTGCAATGGTTCCCCCAAAGAGTGAGACCACATGCTTTGTGGGGAGATGAACGATGACCTGAATGATAATCTGATCCAATTTCTTCATATGCAGGTGAGAAAACTGAAGCCCAGAGCAGCAAGCCAAGCTGCTCAAGAACCAAGTTATGGCAGAGCTGGGCTCAGAATGTGGGTTTCCTGAATTCCCAGAACCACATTTGCTTTTGGGAGGCATGGGTGGGTGAATCTGCCATTTTCATGGCAGTGGGGGAGGACAGAGACTGTCTTTTGCTCCTAGTGGGATTTCAGTAAGCAATGAGTTGCTGACACTCTGTGGCTCATAACAGGCTGGCAGTGGCTCCAGGAAGGGCTGCATGGGAGCCCCATTTATCTCCATACTCGCACAGGGAGCACCTAGGGGTGCTCCACAGGTGTGCTGATGGAGAGAGAACAAACACCTACATCAGTGCTCACTATTAGTACTAGGCGCTTTCCTTAAGTGTCACATTTAATTTTGCAAACAGCCCTAGGAGTTAGCTACTATTATTAGCCCCATTCTCCCTCACCCCAGCAAACAGGCTGAGAGAGGTTATTATAATTCCCCAGGGTCAGAATGCCAAGCCTGGATGCACAGAGCCCAAGCCTTTAAGAACCAGGCTGACTCATGAATGTTGAAAGAATTGTGCCCCAGAGTTGGGCTTCTCAAACTTGAACTTTCCCAGGGATCCCCAGGGTGGGAGGTGGGGGGCTATAAAATGCACATTCTTTTCCGTTCGTCTGGGCTGGGGCGGAGATTCTGCCAATGCTGCTGGTCCGCAGCAGGGAGAGTCAGAGCTCACAAGCGGAACCCTGGTGCCCCTGTCATCTGAAAAAAAATGTGCGACACTTGGGTGTACCCCGGTCTATAGAAACATTTATTGCGCCCTGCATTTGGTCCGACGAAGTTACTGCACTTCCCAGTTTAAAATGTTACAGGAAATGCCTTAGCAGGCGGTGGGACAGGACCCATCCTCGAAACTCAACAGTGACAGCATTTCCACCCCCGGGGGCAGGCTCACAGATCTTCCTAGCGTCTGCTCTGCGCCGAGCTGCGCGCGTACCTCCCGGGAACGGAGCGCGCGTGGCCGCCCACGCGCCGCTGCTTCCAGCGCCGGGCGGATCCGCCTCCGGGGCGGGGCGGGGCGGGTCCCGGCTCGGGAGCCCCCGCCCAGTTGACCCGGCCGCTCTACCCTCGCTGGCTACTGCCCAGGCGTGCAGGGCCCGGCCGCCGCCATGTCCGGCCCGTTCGAGCTCTCGGTGCAGGATCTCAATGACCTGCTCTCGGACAGCAGCGGCTGCTACAGCCTCCCGAGCCAGCCCTGCAACGAGGTCACCCCAAGGATCTACGTGGGCAATGCGTGAGTCGCCTCTCCCAGCCCCGCCCGGCCCTCTCCGGGGCGCCCCGCCCACCCGGGATCTGGGGAGGGGGCGTCGGCAGGTGCAGGTGTGGGGAGCCGGGGCGTGGTCGACCCTCTCGAACTCTAGCAGGGACTGGGCGGGGGCTGGGTGGGGGCTGGAGTCACTGCCCACATCCGCGTGGGGGGGCGGAGGGGCTGGTTCTCGCCTCCGCCCGGCGCAGTCCTTCCCTTCCGGGAATGCACAGAGTCCCGGGGGTCAGTTCGGCCAGCCCCTCGTCCAGCCCAAAGTCGCCGCCCGTTAGGGAATCGGCCTGTGGCGAGGTCGGGGCTACCGTGTTCACTTAACAGGTGGACCTCTGTCGCCTGGAGGGTCACCGGCCCGCATGTCATGTGACAGCTGCTTGGTTCTGCAGTGAAGTCACCGCGGAATGTCTGCCTTCGCTGCCATGGCAACGAGCTGACGTTACAATTCGGACGTGGAATTTTCCCGGCTGGGCAGGCCCCGATCTGGAAATCGAAATACTCCAAATGAGGGAGGGGATCCAGAGAGCTGGGCGGGGGTTTGCTCGCTTTTCCTGCTTTGCGGATAGGGTTTGATTTACATGGGATTCTAGACCCCATAAGGACCTGAGCCATCACTTAGAAAAGGCTCTCACTTTCTCACCACCAGGAAATGCATTATTATTAATCACTTACGAGTTCTTACCAAATTTACTTTCCATTTTTTGTTAGTCAAACTACTAGTAAGAAATTCTTAGCAGCAGGAGAGAACCAGTGTTAACCATTCTGAGAGGTGCTGAAATCCAGCCAAAAGCAAAGAATATTACCAGACTTGTACAGCCTGAGGACCCAGTCAGTTATCAATGCCCTAAGCTCCCTGGGCCCAGGTACAGCATTTTAGAAACCCACAACTACCCTCCCTCTCTTGTTTTACACAGGAAGAGATGGTGGCCCCCAAGCGAGCATTTGAGGGATTGTGAGGTCAGGGTCAATGTCTTGCTCATGTCTGTATCCCCCGTCCTGGACTAGGACCTGATGCTTACTCTGCCAAGGACTACCACAGAAATGGGGGTCATCTGGGAGCTAGAAAGGGCCCATAAAACAGGTCCCAGCCTGATGGGGGACTGTCTCATTTATTCCATCATTCATTCACCATAGTAAGCACCTACTATGTGTCAGGCAGTGTACAGTGTTCATTCGTAGTAGTGATAGTAATGATAATGGTAAATTTGTTGAGTGTTGAATTAGTATTCGAGAAGGGAGGTAAAAGATAGTGACTCTTCAAAGTTAGTTATTTTTAATGAGCCACTGCTTTACCATTGCATGCAGCGTCATGAGCAGAGATAACGAAAACAGAGTTCTAGAGCCTCAGCCAAAGGCCTCAGTAATTGTAAAGTTCTGAGGATAACCCCATCTCCAGCCACCCAAGTAGCAAGTGGCCTTGGCACCCTCAGAAATCCGCTCTCTTGGGCAGTTTGGCACATTTGGCTGTCGCTACTTCCCAAGTGGTAACTAAGGTTGTGAACATTTGGTGGTAGAGTGGCAAGGGCTGACAGCCACTGTAAAAAAACACATTCCTTGCAAACGTGACCTTGACTTAGCCAGAGGTGTGAGGGGTGCTCAGCAAGGAGGATTGACTGAGCACCTAGTGCTCCGTCACCCATCAGGAGCCCCTTAACAAAACCAGGGCTCCTGATCAGGGATCACAGGGCAGAGAGGAGCCTGGATGTGCCATGTTTTCTGTTGGATATACAGCTGACGTGGGCATGAGAGGCAGAGTGAGGGGGAAGACAGAGCAGTGTGGCTGGTTTCAGAAGAAAGGAGGTCTCCTCCCAGCTCTGCCGCTCAGCAGCCCATGTGAGCACAGACACATCCTTCCGCTGTCCCATCATACCAGAGTTTAAGCTCTGTCTTTCCTTCCTCACAGGGCTGCCACTGTGACAGGCAAATGAGATCATGTAGGAGAAGGCATTTGCTAACATATAAACAGCTGTTTGAATTGGGATGTTGTGAGATGAAATAAAGGAGCCCTTTGACGATTCAGGTCAAATGTTTTCTAAACTCCGTAGTTCTGTTGGGGCCACTGCTCCCCAAGTGCTTACTAACCCAAGAGAGCGTCAGCAGCGTTACCAGTGGACTGGTGGCAGGAAGGATCCCTCTGGGGGATGGGAGGGGGCTGCTGAACTTTATAATCCAAGGAAGGAGGCTGCCTGGGATATGCTGATTTCATTCTTCACTGACTCACCACATATTCATTAAACATATACCCACAATCAAGCATTAGAATAGTAGCACTGACTCGGTGTCAGGTTCTGCCTATAGAATAGCTTGCTTAACACTCAAACCCCAGGGGTTAGGTACTGTTATCATCTTCATTTTACAGATAGGGAAAGTGAGTCACAGAAAGGTTAAGTGACTTGCTCAAGGTTACCTGGCTGCTACATGCAGGGCTGGATTCAGACCCAGGCAGTCTGGCTCCAGAGCTGTTCTTAGCATCTTGGCTATACCACCACCACAGTATAGGGAGCATGATGCCAAATGGATTGGAGGGGAGATCAGGAAATACTGCAGAGGGTGGTGAAAAGTGAGAGGGTCCATGTCCATGGAGGGCATTCCAGGTAGAGGGAACAGTGCGGGCATGAAACCACGCAGTCTATTTGGAGTGGCTGCTGGTAATTAGATATGGCTGGGGTGAAGGATAGGGGTCATGAGATGGGGAGCAGCCAGTAGTGGCCAGAGCATGGAGAGCTCTTCACTTTGCCAAGAGGCTTAGAAGCTTCTTCATCTTCTTCCCTCTGGGGATGCCAGTTGGTCAGTTAAGCATCCCTTGCTGATGTCTCCTGTCCAGGTCTGTGGCTCAAGACATCCCCAAGTTGCAGAAACTGGGCATCACCCATGTCCTGAACGCTGCTGAGGGCAGGTCCTTCATGCACGTCAACACCAATGCCAACTTCTACAAGGACTCCGGCATCACCTACCTGGGCATCAAGGCCAACGACACGCAGGAGTTCAACCTTAGCGCCTACTTTGAAAGGGCTGCAGACTTCATTGACCAGGCTTTGGTTCAAAAGAACGGTAAGGGACCTGCCACCCAGGAGACAGTGGGAGGCAGCTTTGACTGGACACTTTCTAGAAAACAGGCCCGCAACAAGCTTTCTCTTGGAAAACCTCTTATTTCCTGTCTTCTGTGGTAAATGACTGAGAGCTTTAAGTCTCTCTCTGGCTACCTGTCAGACAATGGCCCTATATTACACAAGATGTACAAACCTTTTACACAGTGGCAGCCTCAGGGTCCTCGTGTTTGATTTGACACTTTGACTGAGGGTTGATTTCCAGCCACCCCTCCCTCCAATTCGATTAGCATCCGTAATGAAGATTTATTTTCCATGATAAGAAGTTCTGAGGTGCAGGAGCTCCGGGATGGTTGATTTGGCAGTTCAATGGTAGCATCAGGACTAGGTGCTTTCTCTCTCTTTCTCTTCTGCCGTCCTCAGTGTTGGGCACTCCCCTAATGGTCCCACGATGGCTGCAGCAGATCTGGTTACCACCTCCCAACAGGACAAACTTCAGCAAAAGATGAGGCAGTCATCTATCTCTTCCTCATGTTTCTCTCATTTTTTGAGAGTAAGTAAAACATTCCCCAGAAATCCCCCAGTGGAATTCCCCTCACATCTCATTGGCTAGAGTTGAGTGACATGAATGCCTGGCAAGTGGGATGGGGCAGCCCTGATTGGCTTAGGCTGGGGGTCAGCAAACGACAGTCCATAGGCCAAATCTTCCAGCCAGATTTTAAATGTTTCCTGCAGCTCCCAAACATAAGACTGAAGCAGAACTGCTCAGGCACTGACAGCCAGGCAAGGTGTCCCAGAGAGAAATCCTAGAAGGCCAGAGGGCATGCACCCGCTGAGCAGGCTGGGCCGCTTGCCCTTTCTGCCCAGCCTGCTTCTTTCAGCAGCTGCCTTCACCTTTGCCCTGCCGCCAGCCTCTTCCTTCCTCCCCTCCCCACACCTTCCCAGGGGAAGTGACCTCCACTGAGGTGTGATCAGCCCCGTCCTCCTATTTCTAGCCTGTCTCTGCTATACTGATGCTTCTCATGCCAGCAGCCTCCCCACTGAAATGACTTCCAGTGAACAGAGTTTATTAGACAAGGGTTTTCTCACATTTGGGGCCCAGGAGGGAAGTTTTATCGCCCAGGGAATCTACAGACTTTACTGTCAGGCCCTTTGTGATTCTTCCTGGCCTCGTATACATACATGTCATCCCCCACTCCACCTACACTCCCACTCCAGCGGTCTGAGCTCCTGTATAGATGAGAGCGAGGGTCCAAGTTAAAGGGGTGGATGTTGTTCTTCTGGTTTATCACTTGGTCATCCATTCAGAGAACTTAGAGCTCTCTGACTTTGTTTCCTCTTTCCATACAACTAGGAACATAGCCTGACTTTTTGTGATCTCCTGCCTGAGCCCATGTGGGCTGGGTCATCAGTCTGGAAAGCACTTTCTGCCTCTCCCTACCCTGTTCTCTGGCAAACCTTACCGCGTGATTTTAGCACTGGGCCTAGTGTCCTCTCTTCTATGAAGCCTGCCCCCTTGTCTGTCTCACCCAGCACCTGATGTAGCATTGGGCACATAGCAGGGACACTGCAAATGATTACTGAATGAGTGACAAAATGAATTCTGTGGGCTCTAATGCCAAGTGTAAATGCTTCTAAGAAGATTGATTAGCCAAGTGAGCCAGTAGAAACTCATTGGCCTCTCACAGTGTGCAGGGCTCAGGGGAGCCAGGAGTCCATCGCTTTTGGAGAACTGGGGAGGATGGCCAGGGTGCTCAGAGGAGGAAGCTGTCACTTCTAGTCTGGAAGATCAAGGGAGGCTTCAAGGAGGAGGTGGTGTCTGGGCGGGGCCTGGAAGGATGGGCTTAGAACCCTCCCCTTCCCCATTGGCTTTGTGAGTCTTGGGCCTGCTGAGTAACTTTGGGTGGTGAGGCAGCTGCTCTGCAGAGGGCCCTATGGCCAGAACCGGGGCAGGGAAGTCCTCACACTGAATACTTTGGGTACACTGGACCAGAGAGTGAATGGGCAGGGAAGTGGGGGACTGCCCCTTCCTGCTTTGGGAGGCATTGGGAAGATAGGATCATTGGGGAACATTTGACTGTTTAACAGACTCTGAGCCAGCATATTTCCTTCAAAATAATAACCTGTGTAGAGGTGTTGGTGGGTGATCATTCACTCATTCACTTGGCTAGTCAGCAAATATTATTGAGCATCAAGTGTATGCTAGAGATCATAGGGAGTCCAAAAATCAGCACACACACACACACCCCTGCCCCCAGTCCTTGCTCTTAAGGAACTACATTCTGGCAGAGGAGGGTAGGTCTATGCTTGGCCAACAGTAACACAAGACAGGGCTGCTGTAGGAGACGATGGACTAAGTGCCACCAGAGGACTCCTAGTGTTGGCTAATATATATTTATTGTGCGCTCACATATGCCAGGCACTAGCCTAAGGGCAGGGCCTTTTGGGCTATTGGAGGAGCCACAAGGTGGTATTTTTGTGTGTTTTGATTTTTTTGTCTTGGTTTGTGTTTGTCTTTGGCATTTATGTTCCTTTTATTTTTTAACCTGCTTTGTTGAGGTATAACTGATGTTTAATAAACTACACATAGTACAATTTGATAAGTTTTTACATATATATACACTTGTGAAACCATCACCATAACCAAGATAATAAGCATATCCATCACCCCTCAAATTTCCCTCTGTCCGTTTGTGACCTCTCCCTTCCGCCCTCTCTCCTCTCCATTCCTAAGCAACCACTGATCTGCTTTCTGTCACTAGACACTAGTTACGTTTTTGCAGTTTTATATCAGTGGAATCACGCAGTATGCATGCCTTTTTGGTCTGGCCTCCTTCACTCAGCATAATTCCTCTGCGTTTCATCCATGTTGTTGCATATATCAATAGTTCATTCTTTTTAATGCTGAGTAATATTCAGTCATACGGATGTACCATAGTTTGTTTATCCATTTACCTGTTGATGGACATTTGGGATGTTTCCATGTTTTGCTTTGAATTGAAATACAAATTCATATAGAAAGGTAGCCATATCACAAGTGTATAGATCAATGTACCGCATACAACCATGTAGCAACCCCCAGATCTAGAAATAAAACACGACCAGCACCCTCGAAAACCCACCACGTGTACCCTCTCACTATCCAGACTTCTAATGGCATAGATAAGTTTTCTTGCTCTCCTACTTTGTGGAATCATTTACATCCCATTGGTGTGTTTCATCCATGTTGTTTCTGATAAGTTGTAGATTGTGCGTTCTTGTTATTTACCCGTTCTGCCATTGATGGGCCTTTGGGAGTCTCCAGACTGGGGCTAGTATGAGTGGTGCTGCCTATGAACGTTCTGGAGCATGTCTTTTGGTAAACATGGGGGCGCGTTCCTGCTGGCCATGGGCCTGGGATGGAATTGTTGGGCTGTAGGGGATGCATGTGTTCAACTTGAGTAGATATTGCCACACAGTTTCCCAAAGTGGTGTGCCCACTTACCCTCCCTCCCTCCCACCAGCCACACATCAAAGTCCTGCTCCACATCCTCACTGATGGTTTGTGTTTTCTGTCTTTTTCATTTTAGCCATCATTCTGATGGGTACGGAATGGCCTTGCATTGTACTTTTCATTTGCACTCCCTGGAAGAATGTTGACTAGAGTCGTGGTGTGATTGGATGCGCCCAGCTCACTGTGTCATCCCGTTTCTTACAGGCCGTGTGCTTGTCCACTGCCGCGAAGGTTACAGCCGCTCCCCAACTCTAGTTATCGCGTACCTCATGATGCGTCAGAAGATGGATGTCAAGTCTGCTCTGAGCATCGTGAGGCAGAACCGTGAGATCGGTCCCAATGATGGTTTCCTGGCCCAACTCTGCCAGCTCAATGACAGACTTGTCAAGGAGGGGAAATTGAAACTCTAGTGCACCCCCACTGCCTCTTCTCTAGAGGTTGGACAGGGGACACCCTGGTTGAGGTGTTCCAAGCTGCCATGTTTAGGAAACACAGTGTACCCTGCTCCCTGTATCACAAGGCACTTGCCCACAAATCGGTCCCAACACAGCCCTGGGCCCCTTTCCCCCTGGGGAGCACATAAAGAAACTTGCTAAGGAGAACATTCTTGCTCCCTGGTATGTCATGTGCCTGCAATTTATGATGTCCTCTCCCTGAGGTAGGGTCGTGGAGAGGGAAGGCCTGTGACATGCATGCTTCTAGGTGACCCAGGGCAGGAGGTCTGTGGAAGTGTAAGGCCAGAGATGCTCTCAGGGGCCCTTCCTGACCTTCTCTGCCCTCCACCCCTGGGTCCTCTCCTGAGTGAGGACTGCAGCACCTCGAGCCCTTTAAAGGAACTATGCAAGCTCGGGCCCCTCTCTCCTCCCATGTCTGCCTTCCCAGTCTCCTCATAGTCGCCCACACCCTGTTCATTGGCAGAGGCGTGTCGTGGGGTCTGAAGCTAGCATGGGATAGCCGTCAGTTGTTAGTAGGTGGAAATTCCCACAAAGAAACCACATTTTAATTATTTCCTTGGGATTAAAGATATCTGAACAAAGAGGCCCTCAGGTGGGCAAAGAAGTTTCCCTGGAGGTCTCTCCTTAGTCAATAGTTTCTAAAATGTGAACCCTTAGAAGGCTTGAGTTCCGAATCCACTGGAATATTTCCCTGGGACAGCTCTTAGTCACTTGGTTTGTTAGAAGAGTGATGCCTTGGGCATGGTTTTATTTTTCTTTTTTAGAAAACAGGGTGTACAAGTCCAGCCTATTTAAAAACCCCACCATTTGGAGAATTACAAGGGTTTTGTCTTGAATTATAGTGTTGGCGAGCCCAAGCCACTCGTGCTAACTCCTTTTTGTCTCGGTTACTATTCCAAGAACAGGAGGAGGAAGTTGGCCAATTACAGCGTGTGTGTGTGGGTGTGTGGGGGGGTGTGTGTCTCAGAAACACAGCCAGAGGACCGGCAAGCAAGGAGATGAAGGGTCCCCGGCTCACATCCTGCCCACTTACAGCTAATTCTTATGGCTCTCTGGTGCCAGAAAAGATCAGGGACCCTTGGGAGCAAAAATGACTCAGCCAGGCAGAAATGAAACATGGTGGAGCATCCAAATGAAGCCTTAATTGGTGGTAGAGCAAACAAACAAACCAACAAAAAGAAACTACCTTTTTTAGGATGATACGGGATGCACTAGCTCTCACATGTGTACACACATTTAACAGACTTGTTAGAACTTTGCATGATTTTCGTCATGGAAGGTGATGCAATGTTGTCATCTTCAGGTTCCCTAATGGCAGAGAGGTGGTCCTTAGCCAGTTCCCCAGTGCCTAGCACATAGATGTCTGATAGAAGTTTGTGGAATTAAACTTTTTTTTTTTTTGAGCACCAAATATATGTATGGTGTTCTTCTGGTGGGTGTAGCAGGCTCTCAGAAGCCTGAATTTGTGGTAGGATCACTTGCAAGAATTTGCAAAGGAGTCTTACCCGAAATGAAATATCAGGGACTTTTGTTGAATAGTTAAAATTCAGTTTTAAATTTAAATTCAGGCAATGTTAACATGTCAAGGTGTGGAATGTGCCTTTTTCAGAGTTGACCAGGAGCTTTCTGCCAGGACTAGAAGAAGCAGGCGTGCCTTTGGGCCTGACTCACAGGTGTAATGGTCTCTATCTCAGCAGGGGCAGCACTGAACGGCCCCTTTTCTCTGTGGCCACAGCCACCCTGAACAAACAGTATTCTTTTTCAGATACTGGCTGCCCAGATAGAGCCACCTAAGTGAAATGGCCACCCTCTAAACTCGGTACCTCACAGTTTTCAAATAACTCTCCCGCTTAATCTAACTTGATCCTCACAATGACCCTAGATGGTAGAGCTTATTCATGTGTTGTTACCTGTTTTGTAAAAAGGAGCTGAGATTCAGAGGGAATGGCCCCTAGGGTTGCCCAGCTCAAGGCAGAGTTGAGGCACGATTTCAGGTTTGCCGCTCCCTAGAACTGAATTCTCTCTCATACTATACTCCTCAAGAAATGAGCCCCCTGGGAGTGTCCAGGTGCACATGCCCTTGACCCAGCCTGTGTGCACAAGGGCCAGTTAGCTTTTTTTGGACAGAGTACAACAATTCAAGCTGGGGTGGGTGCCAAGGAGGGGTTCGGATAAGGGTGAGACAGAGTTGGCACAAACCCATCCCCGCTCCAGGAAAAGGAAGTAAAAGATTGGATTAGAACAGGGGTTGGCAAACTGCGGCTCGCGAGCCACATGCGGCTCTTTGGGGACGTACATGTGGCTCTGAAGTAAAATTGAAAATCAAACTAAAACCATCATAGTTTCACTTATAAAAATTTTAAAGGGTATTATTCACATAATGGTGACTTAATTTGTTTTATGGCTCTCGAATAATTTTTTAATTGTTGTGAGGGACAGGATTGGCTCTTCTGTCTTAAAAATTTGCTGACCCCTGGGTTAGACTGTGTGGCTCTTCTAAGAAAAATGTAGCACCCCTAAGTCAGGCCTTTCTGCATCGTTTCTGGAAGAGGCCCAGGATATGGGGCTGGGGCATGCCTACCACACCCAGGCCGTGGTCACCCCACAGCTACTTAGTTGCTCTTGAAGGCCTGTTTGTGGGTGCATGAAGGAGAAGAGGTCAGTGGGGGAATTACTGCCTTTACTTTGGGACTACTTTTATGCTGGCAACTTGGGATTTCTTGATAGTCCTTAGTCTTAGAAACCCCACATTTACTTCATGAGATTTAGCTCCTAGTTCTTTGAGTAAATAAAATTCTATTGTATACGAGTGAACACTGTCCAGCTGTGAGTGGAAGCTGTTTCTGGACAGCTTTTTACCCCTGGGAAGTAAAGGAATGCGAACTCAGGGTGCCCTCCCCCCCTCCCCTGACCTGATCCCTTTCTTTGACTAGCAGACCCCAAAAATTAGAGCACCAAACGTTTCTGTTCTAAAGCAGCACACCGTTCACAGACAGGTAGGTCTGTTTCCCTGCCACACTGAGTTATCTGGAGAGCAGAAATCACCATCTATCAATTAAGGGAATACATCTGGAAGACCTCGAAGGTTACTTTTGGCTCTGACACAGGGTTCACTAAGAATCCCCACTTGGAATGTACCACCACCTGGAAATTAAAGGGCATGTAATAATATGATGACCAGCAGGTGGTGCTGTGTTCTACCCGTGGCGATGGATAATTGGAAAAGGAATGTTGGTGCCGTTTGTGTCACAATGTTAAGATGCTAATGTTTTAATCAAAATAAGCACTGATCTTATAAAGATGTGAGCTTTTCTCACAGGAAATTTTCTATCATAAAACCGGTGTCAAGAATCGCTGAAGAGCCAACAGTGATGCTCCTTCCAACTTAAGATTTTATCCCGATTGGAAATTGAGACCATCTCCGGTTGAGAGAATAGATTGGTTGGAAGCTGTAAGTTCACTCCTCTCAGCTTTTAGGGTAGTTTGATTGTGAAAGCGTGAATTTTCTGGACAGAAAAAGGGGAAGGTATTAAATTGGTTTAAAAAAAAGAGTAAGTTTAACACATCTGTGATATCACAAATCAGTGTTAAAATACTAATACTGTAACCAAAATAAATGTCTTATATTACAAGTGAATGGTCTTTTTTTGTCCTTATCACAGTTGATTGCTTTTATGCTTAGTTGTTTAAAAGTTTTTCTAACTTTTAAAAAGAATCATCTAAAAATTAGCCCTCCTGAGCTATAGTTCTAGATTCCATGATGATTATATTTATGAAGTAGATGTTTGTTGAGCATCTCTCCAGGACCAGAAATTTCCTGTGTTAGGAATAAGTTTTTGACTTACTTAATTTAAAAAAATTCAGCTTATTGGGGTATAATTGGAATATTCTTGAGTAGAGTGACCCACTCCAAATGAGCGAATTAAGAAAGGGGACTGGAGTGACAGTCTCAAGGTGGCCTCACATGAAGATGATTGGGTGGCATTTTAGGATTTGAGTGATCCTGCAGATGGGCAGTCCCAAAACATATCCCTGCCTCCAGGTGCCTTGAATTCCACCATTAGCATTATCTCCCCTAGATAAGCATTGCTTTTTACCCCTCTAAAGAAAAACTCAAAGTTGGTGCCGGACAAAAAAGCTCTGGGCAGAAAAAGAGCCTCTTTGGCCTCTAGTTCCCCATAGCATGAGGCAGTTAGACTAGCTCATTGTTTGTCAGACCCCTTTGGCAACATAATCTTCATATTTTTACCCCACATCTTAAGGCAGAGCTCTAGTATATAAAACTGGTAAAAGTTTTTAAAGCATCATTTAAAAAACATTTTAATTAAAAAGGTAATAATTATATATATATATATACATATATACATATATACATATATATATATATATATATATATATATAAAACAATACAAAAAGCTTATAACAAAAAGTGAATCTCCTACCCCAAATCCATTCAATCTCCTCAGAGGAAGCCACTAAGTATATCCTTCTAGAAGAATCCCATGCATAGGTAAGTATACACATGTATGTGTTAGAGATATCCTTTTCCCCATACTTGGAAAATATTCTGTACTTTGTCTTGTTTGCTTAATATATTTTACCCATTGTTTCTTATAGTCCCCTTCATTTTAACAGCTACATAGCGTTCCATTGTGTAGGGATGTATTACATATTGCATAATGTATGGATGTGATTTCTGGATACTCTTATTTTAAAGGTCCAGGCTGCTTTAAACAGCACAGAATGTTGAAATGAGACTTATAGATGACAATTGCATTTTTTGAATCTGTACTGTAGCCTGTTAATTTTTGTGTCTGTTGTGGCACAGTGTCAAACATATCCCAATACTCAGAACTAAGGAGTGTCCTGTGCTTGCTTGTGTAATTTTATGGGAGTGGACATGCCCAAGCCTAATTTTTAAAAAGGTATTCTTTGAGCTATGGCCTCCTGAATTTATGACCTATTTATGAGAAAGAATTTCAAGTGCACAGAAATTCAATGTCTGAGGCGTACACTAAAATGAGTTAACCTGGAGGCAACACAATGAATGGGTGGTCTTTAATTCATTAGAAGTGGATGAATAACACTTTTGATTAATGTGTATGTTTTCATTACAGTTTTAAATAATTAAAATACATATTTTTTAAACCATGAGACATCTCTGTGGAAACCTGGGGTCTGAGAAACCTAGTTTGAAAGCCCATAAACTAGATGACCTTCCAGTTTAACGTTCCCAGGTATAGAGTACTTGGGCAGCCTCCCTTAGAGGAAGGAAGGCAGAAGCAAGAGGGAGGAAGGTGCTAAAAGAAGAGCGGAGGCGTGCAGCTAGGTGCTGAAGGGGAAGAGTCTGCAAAAACACGGGGTAACAGAGCTTCTCTTTGGCAAAACTCTAGTCATTCTCCCCTAAACTCTTTTTCAACTAGGCCTCCACTTTTGGACTTGCATCTTTGTCTCTGTATTGCTCAATTTTAGCAAGAATCCTGCTAAGTCACATTACCCAGAATCTCCCATTCTCTATCTGATCACCCTCAATATCTAAAAGGCTTCCTCATCCCCTTGATGAAGTCTGATCACCCTGGCATCCCGTTAGGTCGGTTTAGCAAGAATCTCCCTGACCCCCAATGTTTCTTCTTAGTAATGCTCCATCCACTGACCTCCACCCTGCTCCTTGGCTATAAATTCCCACTTTTCCATGTTGTATTTGGAATTGAGCCCAAACACTCCTCTCCACTGCAAGACCCCACTGCAGTAGTCCCCATACCTATCACCATAGTACCCCCTTGAATGAAGTCTTCTTTACCATTTTTAACAAGGGTCAGAAATAATTTTTTCTTTAACAAGGGTTTGCAGTTAGGGGTCCCCCAGGCAGAGGATGATAGTTTGGATGGCAGTTGGGGAAGACAGGGGATGAGTCAGGACCCCACCTTGCCAGGCAGAAATTTCATCGTGTTAAGGCAAGGCGAGCCATTACCCTATTGTAAGCAGGAACACGTGTTACAAACCTCTTTGCAGCTCCTCGCCCCCATCCCTCAGAAACTGCTGGATGTACAAGTAGGATTTCCACCTGTGTTGAAACCCTGTACTCCACAAAGAACAATTCTCAACTGTGAATAAAGACGGGGTGATTTGGACAGCCCTCAATGCAGGCAACCGCTTACACACAGATTTCCCTCCAAATCCAGATATTCCATTTCCCCCACTGACGGGTGGAACCAAAATCTGTTAAAAAACGCAGCCCTTAAGGAGAACCTTCCGTTTCCATGAATTAGAGACAGGTGGCTTGAGTACTAAGAAGAGAGTGAAACTAGATGACCTTTGAGGTTCCTCTCACATCAAGGATCTACGATCCTGCAGATTCAAAGGAGTACAACTTACTTTCCAAATTTGGCCCATCCTTCAAGTCTGGTCCAAATGCCATGTCTTCCTATGAGGATCCCAGATCCACCTAAGGGGGAATGGAGTGTTCTCTCCTCTGAAGGCCCACATGCTTTATTCCTTTTTTTTTTTTTAAGATTTTTATTGGGGAATTGGGGGGATGGGGAACAGACAAGTTGCTGTTGTTTTGTTCTTCAGTCTAGTTGTGGAGGATGTTGCTTCACTGGCTCAAGTTGGCGCCATCATTGCGCTCTTCCTGGGGGAGGCAGATCAGTCGCCGGCTTCTGGACGGCTGCTCACGCTGGCTGCTGGCTACACACGGTAGCCCATGGCAACCCACTGCAGCAGGGACTGCAGCCTACGCG